CTAACAATAAACTTTTTCTATTTGTCTGGCAGCCTATTTTCCGACAATACTTGCTAACCTTTTACATTATTCTTTTTTACAATTTTTGGGATGTTTTATTCTTTTAAGGTTTAGCGAATTTAAGTTGTGCTTGTGGGGTCTTCTCCCCCCCCTTTTTCTCGGTGCGGACTTACTTTTTTCCGCTCGGGAACGCAAGTGTGCGTGAGTTTTTCTCTACAGCGCTTTTCTCTCGTTGGTGAGTTGGTTTCTCTTCTATTTTTAAGTTTTTAAGGTGAATGGTGAGGAAACCTTCGTCCTAACAAAACATAAGCCCCAAACAAAAATATAATAAAAAGCAAAATAAAAGTAAATAAAAATAATGTTCAGACTTGGTTCCTTACAGTGTTTAGCTTTCCCTATAATTTTGGTTTTTCTCAGTCAACTAGTTTTCGAGGTTTTTGGATTTTACTGCATTGCAGTATTTTTGGTTTTTCAGGTTTTCCTGAGTTGCTCTTCAGCCTTTTTGGCTGTAAGTTCATAGTTAGGCCTTACTAGGCCAATTTCAACTGCCTGGCCATTTTCATAGCTTTTTCGGTGTTAGTTAGTATTTTGGCATTTTTGGTTTCTGTTTTTTGTAGTTAGTTTTCCCTTTGTAATTCTTTCCCTTAGTAGGTGCTTTGTTCCCCTGTTAGTTTCGTATTTCTAGGACACCTTGTTTTTGAGTTTTTTGGTTATACTGTGTTTTGGTTTTCAGTTCTCCTGTTCTTTTCCTTGGTTTAAGTTATAAGTTATTAGTTTTAAGGTAGTTTAAGTAGTTTAACCCATTCACTACATTTATTTTGATCCGAATGCCACTCAGAAATCCACAAAAAATTTATTTTTTATATGAAATAATTATTTCCACTTAAACGCAAATCTAACATCCAAAAAAATTGCCGGGAAATAATTCCCGTGAAATAAAAACCCCTCCAAAAAGTGTTCTTACAAAATAAAGTATATAAAAAAATAAAAATAATTTAAAATAAATGCTTTTATTTGAAAAATATAGCTGTAAGGATTGTTATTCTTTCGTTTAACAAGGCGTGAAATTTCACACGTGCAGTCTACATTGTTTACAAACTGGTTGACCTTGAGAACAGCTGGAGTCCGCTTTCCCGGGTAGTTTTCAAGTACGCTTCAGGGAAATATTGGTTTAAAGCACGAGGGGAGCTAACTTACCGCATCTGTTATATCCGTATTATGCTGCCGTTAAAAGAGAGATAATGTCTTCAAAAATACTTTACTAATCATAAAATTTGCAACAATATTAGTTGATAAAATGTATTTTGAAAGAAATAGTGTACATGTTTTGTCTGTATGTAATTAATTATTGAGTGATAGATGCACTCCTTATATGAATAATAGTGGAATAACACTGTAGCTCATACAAGGAGTACATCTACCACCCATTAATTAATTATTTTTAAGTCAAATATTTCAGAGATTTTGCTAAATATATAAAAGTTTATATTTATGGGCAGTAATTTCTACTCTGTATAAAATAAAATAACAGAAATATATTTTTAAAATGTTAAAAAGCAGTTAACTGTGAACATACCGTTCGCTTTTTTAAGACGAAATTATATGCTAAAGCATATTCCAGTAAAGATAAAAATATCAGAACGATGCAGAATATAAACCAGACATCCAGAGCCTTTAAATAATCCACAGGAGGCACGAAGCTTCTGGACTGCACCAAATGAGTGACTAAAGTCAGGATTGAAGTCACACCCAAAGTGATGCGTGCGGGTGCTGCGTGAACATCGATCCAAAATGACAGCCACGACAGCATGACCACTAACGTACTAGGGATGTAGACATTCATCAGGTTTCCAGTAAGACGTCGTGTAAACTTAAATTCGGCAATTAACGTAGTAAAATTACCTGAAATTATTTAACAAAACATCTTATATAATAAATAAATAGTTATAAATATAAATTTTAAATTAAAATTTTCACTTCCAGAAAGGATTTTACAATTATTTACAGAAGTTCGGAGAATTGAATGAGCACTTGTTTTTCAACAGCAGGAAAAGTAAATAAATTATTTGACGCTTAAATTTATTTGGAATATTTAAAATATGAACGTTGTTATGTTCATGATTAATTTTATTATGACGTTTGATATAAGCTGTTGTCTCTTTTTTTCTTTCAAGTAGCTGAAAATAGGTTAATTACCATGAACAGAACAATAATACATTAATGTATTCTCTTGTCTGTCATCATGGAATTCGAATACGAAGAGGACATAGATTCTAAGAAAGTCTTTTTTCCAGTACAATTGAGGATTTGGCCATGATCATGAGGAGGCGTGTTGATATATCGTTTTCGAAAATATTCCTAGGATTCTTTGTTTGAGAAGGTCTAATCTCATAGACAAACACCTGCACCACGCCTCAGGGAAAAATCCATCCCAACTAAATATGGGGAATCTCGGACACAAGATAAATTTTAGTATTTATCATGAGACCGGTTAAAGGAAAGTTAGAAATTTTTATTTTAGTTGATACTGCAATCTGTTGGCCACTAAAAATATTTACCGTGTTTTTCCCAGAAAAAAATAATAAACTCTGCAGTGTCCAATGTTTTATTGTGGCTCAGTGTAACCTTGGAAAGCTAGAAAGTGACCAAAATTTGCCAGACAAAAGAAATAAAAAAAAGAAATATAATTTTTTTCATACATTAATTAGAAATTAAAATACAATAGATTCGTCAATTTATATTTGAAAAAAAATGCAACAACGAGTTGCGTAACATTCCCGACTGTTATGAGATGTTATTTGAAACGTATATTATTAATCTCGATAAATAAACTTATGTTGTGTGTTATAACAAAATCACGTCATCTATTGCTTGATTTTGTTATAAAAAGTGTTTATATTATTATTAATCAGTATAAAATGGCAAAAAGCTTAATTTTCAACGTAGTGGCGAGTTTATATCTATATAAACTGTAAATACTAATAACGAGTAAACTCTTTATTGTCTGAACCCAACAAAGATATGACACATGACCCCTTTATATCCCCATCCCCTCGACCTTTAACCACCAAAATTTACTAGCACCAAGGTCTGTGATTTATAAGTTACCATACCAAATTTTAATTTTTAATTTTTAATTTATCCTGAGATAATAAAGGAAATACACGCTTGCCAATACTCCCACACAGGAAATTTTTCCTTTTTTTGACTTTTGGATTCAGGAGGTCTGAAAATGTGGAGATCTGAAAAATTTCTGATGTCAAATTTGACACGATTCCAATACTTTTCCTTGTTATGTATACATAACCGCCGGGAAAATAAAAGGAAAATGAACATCTCAAATATTAAATCACTACAGGTTTAGTTAGCCATGGTAAGGAGCAGATCCTGACCTTGGGCATCTAAAATTGTAAGGTGTTTTATGAGGAAAACAGAACCTAATCTAACACGATTTATTGTGTAATACTTAGACTTTAATTACAATTTATAAATTATGGAAATATTGCATGAAATTAGCATTTTGCGCATAAGTAGCACATAATGATGATATTATTTTAATGCTTCGTAAATTATAAATAATAATGCCATACTGAAATTTGATAGAATAGTAATTAATCTTTATACGAGCAGATGTAATTAAGGGTTAGATAAACGGAATAAATATGTATTCATTAAATTAAATTACAGTAGAGCGTCGTTTATCCGAATCAATTGGGGACTGGGGTTGTTCGGATAACTTATTTTTCGGATAACCGATTATATACGAAAAAATATATTAATCTATCCCGTGTTGAAATTTTTCTCCGTTGCGTGTCGCTTCGCGTTGAATTTTCGTCNTTAAATGAGCGATCTAAAATTTAAATTGTGTATAAAAATACAAAATAACTAGATAAAATATTATTTTAATTAATTAATTTGTTTATTTATTTACAAGCACAAAGTAATTTATACCTTTACATATAGGAAACATTAGGTTAGATAATCAGAAAACAATAGAGCAATCGAATTATAACAGAGTAACATTGTGCAAACCGCTTTTTAAGAAAAGTTATCTATTATTTAGTCGCGTATTTAAAGTTAAAATTGTACTATTAATTCATATGCTTCTGTGTCCTTATTTTATATAATTTATTTTATAAATCTCTACTAGGACATATTTTACAATAAACAGTACAATTTTTACAATTTATTTTAAATAATACTAGAAAAGAATAATTAACTTACCACATGCATGTAATGGAGAAGAGAATAACACTGACGAAAGGAAGCAGCATCATTGTATATGCCATGATGAAAACAAGCAGAAGGATAGTAACCTTGCTGTGTGTTTATTCGATAAAGTATAGTTAGCAGAACAACACGCTGTTATGATGCATATTGATTGTTATAAACACGCAATTGAAATGAGAAAACCATAAAATGATCCCATTTGTTGTTTTTGAAATTTAATTTTATTCACTTTATTGAATCTCACTTAATTGACATAATGATAAAAGATGAAATTTCATAATTATCAATACATTATGTATAGCGTTAGCCTACATTTAATCAAATTATTTGACAAAAATAATTGGGCTGCAATTTATAGATCTATAATTCCCATTCTTCTTCGCCTGTCCGTCTGTCTGTCTTTCCTTAATCTTATGAAGCGTATTAGATGAATGAAAATTGAGATAAATATGGAAACCGGAGGAGAAGGAGGTCGTGATTAAATATTTACGAACTTCCGGCACAATATAGAAGTCGCGTTATTTCAATTAAAAAATTTCCACTCGAAAGGCATAGATGACCGGTAAGACTCTATTCCTAAAGGAAAGTATGATGTACAGGGGCAAGCTACTACTAATTTGAGATGGAAAGCATATATTTTAAATTAAATAATTTAAAAAATATGATTAAAAAACTTGCAGCCCAACATTGTGACGATGTCACATTAAAATAATTGTTCGTTGTATTTTAAAAATTTTTTATGATAATTATTGTATCCATTAATTCGAATTCAAATTCAATTTATATATTTAAAAAATAAATAAATAAATAATTTATGGAAGCGTGACCTGTATTTGATATATTTATGTTTACAATGTAGAAAGCATATACTGTATACATATTTTAATTTGTAAATTTTTAAATAGCTGATAGGCACGCAGCCTATCAGTTTTTACTTGGATTTAGTTCGTAAACATCAGCTCTAATAGTTTGTATATTATATACAGATAGGCCCTACGTAATTATATATAGTACATAATGTAGTATATAGTACATAAGTGTTCTTCCAATTAGTGCTATCTACTATAACATACAGGTTGATTCTATTGAACTCTAAATTCTTCATATACAGTATTTTTCTAGGTCTTCTGAAACGACTCCTTATATAATTAAATAATTTTCATTTTTTAAAATGTTAAAACGCTTCCATTGGTCGTTTTTTGTACAAGAATAGTGGGGTGGGTGAAGCCCCCTATTGTTTAACATTACTATAGTAAATACACACAAAACCAAATTTAAAATTCAAGATATGTTTATGTTTATCGGGTTTTTGATGAGAGGAGAGTGGTGAGCGTTATTTATCCTCTTTTACGTGGCCAATTGAACAGAAAAATCGCGCGTTCCTAAACTGAATGTATTGTTTACAGAGCTTTAAATGGAGATTGTTGGGATCCTTCATGCAGATGATGATCAAAATAAATCTTTATTTCAACTCGATAAATGGCAGTAAATGTCTGTAGAACTTAGTAAGAAGAAAGATAATCGTACGTACAGACTACATCTTTTACAATATAAATTGAAGAAAGATATCAATTAGCTTTTACTACCATTTTGCAAACATATTAATTCTGTGGATACGGTTGTGCTTTACTGCACAGTGGTATAAAATACAACACTATAGTATAGGTATGCCCAATACATTGTCCACTCTTTTAATCTCATGTAACGATCACTAAACGTTGCCGGGAAAGTTAAGCAACTCGTTGCTAGACTTTTTATTTTTAAATTTTCTTTTATAACATTACTTAAAAATTTTGTTTTAGAATAATTTAAAAGTACAAATGTTTGTTTTTCCCCCCTCTCTCTTGTGTGAATATACAGTAGCTGAATTTTAGAAGGCAATTGTTTAATCATAACAAGTGTGTGTGAGAATTTGAAAAATGTATATTTTAAATTAAGCTATTAAAATGTGAACATCGAAACACTTTTATTTTTTAGTGAATCTTTCCCATTGCTTACTTACCCATGGTCTACAAATGCTAGGGTCATGCAGATCACAGCTTAGAAACCACATAAAATCTCTATACCCCTTAAGATATCTGAAATACGCCAATGATTTCGATCTCGTAACTTAACAATTACATTTCAATGTGACTATTCGATTATTCATACCAAATTGCCGACATGATAAATTTTATATAATCTTCATATTATTGTTGTTGAGTCCATGGAAAAGTTGGTTCCTAACAGATCAAAAATATGCAGCAGAAGTTTTATGTGTATTTGAATCCTCAAAAGTATAAGGTAACTTTCCCACATGATAAAAAGTACAGAACTTCTTTTCTTATTTGTAAAGCACAATTTAGAACTAACGAAATTAGCGTTTTTTAAACGTACCAGAATAAAAATGAATCATTGTATGTATAGGAAAAAAGAAAAAAATAATGAAGTTCTACTGCAATTTACAGTAAAACTTTGTAGAAAACACATTATGATAGCAATAGAAGCATGGCTTACAGCTTCATATTGCCTGTCAGCACTAGCGCGTATGTGAGAGAGAAATTCTTAGAAACTTCGCTCCCGGTGCACCTACTTTTCATACTAAGAGATAACATGAATAAATCATACTGCTCAACAATGTGCATTAACTATATATGTACCTGTATTTTACAGTAATATTCAGTGTTATACATGTTGTACAGTACCCTTTATGATAGTATGAATTATTATGTAGTGAGAAGTATATATAGGATTAAGTAAAACACCAGCAACGTGTTGCGTAACTTTCCTGGCAAGAAAATTAAAATTGTGTGTTGCGCCATCTATTATGATACTTTGTTTTAAATTTTTTAATATAATTAACTATTATAAAATGGTAGAAATATTAATTTTCAGGGTAGGGAGGAGTTTTATAAAAAATTGTAAATGTTAATAACGCGTAAATTCTTCATTAGTCTGTCTCCACTCGAAATATGACACATGATTCCATCTGTCTCCCCACCTCCTAGATCTTTAACCACCAAAATTTAACAGTTTGAATGACCCTAATATATAAACCTTCCTGCAAAATTTCAGAAATTTTTGACAAAAAAAAAACAACACAGGAGTTATTAAGCTTCAAAGAGGTTGAACAAAATCGTATCTCCCTACCCACTAACATCCATATATATTGAAAAAAAAATCGCTGATTTTTGGCATTTTTCGATGTTTCAAGGTCCCCCGAGTGCTCTTGGGGGCCATTTTTTTACTGATTGTACCACTTTCGTTTTGTTATATAAATCCTAACAGCTGGGAGAATGTTGAGTTTTGTAAGAAGTCACATTTACATTAAAATTAAAATCACAAATTCATATCGTAATTTTGCCACAAGAGATCAAAGAAATACTGAATAATTTTGTGTTTGTTATAGGTTTTTATAGAGCATTTATATATATATACAGAATAGCTACAACACTATAACTCTTATTTAGATCATTTAGGTGGTGTCATTTGATCAGGCCCAGATAAAGAGCAACAACAGAGCAATTCAATGTGACTACTTAACACAGATTAAAGTTGTTTGAAAAGTTAGATAGATATCCTATGTGACTCCATTGTTAATAGGAAAAGTATGATGTACAGGGGCAAGACACTACTAAAATTGAGAGCATTGTGATGAAAAATTGCTGCCCAGCATTGTGACGATGTCAAAATAAATAATTACTTGTTGATTTTTCATATATAAATACAAAAAAGTAGGCTTTTCATAAAAAATATTTATTTATAAAATTTAATTACAAAATTATTTTGACTCTTTCACTGTTACAAAATAAGATAAATGTTGTTGACAAACTTATATCAGGTTCAGGTTCTGAGATCACATAACTTTGAAAATGATTATTCATTTCACTTCTTTAATAATACTCAATTTTTGTCGTATTATTCAGTAATTAAAAATATTTAATAATTCGAATATTAAATAGTTGTGAATTACAGAATCATTATTTAAGGCAAAACTCAACAAACTCATGCAAACCAAAGTATTGAGACCTTTCAGGTGAATTGAATTGAAATATAAATTATAATATTTCATCTTTATGATGATAACCTTCCATTTCTAATTACTTTTATTAATAAATTCAATTTTTTCTGAAAATATTTTTAAAAAGTTTATTGATTTCCTAGCCACTTATTATTAAAAAATAGCTTTTATCACTGCAATAAGGAAGTTTTATTTATGTATATCTAGTATATACATATATATAAATAGATTGTACATGTAATGGGTCGAGTAATGTTAACATTAAGTGAATACATAAGAATGAAAAATTTGCTTGTAATAGAAATTAATGTTGAGAAATTGAACGAAGCAGATTCTTTATAAGAATACGTTAGTAGCTACCAAAATCCATTGAAAATTATAAGAATTTGACGTTGGGCAAATTTTCAATTTAATAATAATTAGATTATAAATGTTGGCATCAGTAAATAAATACACGTATATTTTGTACTTTTAGATTTCTTATCTGAATAATTTCTTTTAATTTCTATATTTTTTAGTCTCAGTCAACACTAAATTATAAGTGAAGATAAGTATTTGTAGTTTGTTGTTTTTTTGCTGATAAATATTGTATAAATGACTTGCAATACAAGTTTGGCATGATGACATTTGAAGACATACGGAAGATATTTCCATAATAAAAATTAGTACTAAAACTCAGGTTATGATACTTTTAGCATTGCAAGTAACGAGAAGATAATTTCATTTGTGAGGACACACAGGATATGTTGCAAATTTGGCAGCTTAGAAAGGCACCATCACACTGCATGTGAAAAATGTCACATGGGACCAGTAAACACATTGGTCAACAGCCGGCTCGTGTTTTACATGTTCAAATTGGGGATTACACTGACCACTATTCCCTGCATCGCTATGTAAAGATATTACAAGACATATAAAACGTGTCTTGTAATGTCTTGTCAAATGAAATGTCTGTTGCTTGCAGCGTCAAAAGGGCAAGTGATGAGTTTTGGTACTATTACAAAAATATCTTCCTCCTGATTTGAAATGCCACATACCAAATTTTTATATTTGAACTGCTAGATATCGTTCTAGACAGCTTTGAAAATCGTAGTAATCAACCATTCACCATTCTTGTGGTTCTTTCATGTTATAAATCTCTATTCGATAGATAATATACACAATAAAAGCTTGCAAAATTAACAAACACAAAGGGAAACAAGTATCTTGACACTTTATCGTAAACATTCAAGTCCTTCGCTTCAATTAGAGTAGAAGTTTTATCTTTCAAGTACGATATCCACACTTTGACTAATCGAGATTCTTTCTCTTTAGAATCTGGACGGAATGCACGAACACGAGTTTCTTTGGCCTAACAGAAGAAACAAAATATATACAGATTATTTTTACAACAAAATATTTGTATAATTTAGCTTAAAAAATGATTTATACCATTTTTAAAATCAATACCCAACATCATGAATAAGTAGTAAAGCAAATAACTTTACTGTTTATACTGAAACTTTATCACTTTTCAATCAGGTAAAATGGTTAATGAATACCTTTTTTGTACTACCATTTTACTGCAAATAAAGCGAATTTTTTAAGTAAAAATGTGTACAAAATTATTTTTAAAAGTTTCTGTTGATCTATTGAATGCCGAAGGGTATCAATAAGATCAAAATCATCCAACATTGGCGCAAGTTTTGCTCGTTAATTTAATAAAATTTAAATTATACTGTAGAAAATAATTATTTATCAAACTGTGACGTTTTTATTTACAAAATTGCCTTAAAAGAAAAATATATTAGCGATTAATTGCTATTTCCACACATCGATACTGTCAATCTAGTGTGACATGTTATCATAATCAGCATTTTTAATTAACTCCTTTCAGACTTTTGTTTCGATCCGAATGCCACTCAGAAATCCACAAAAAATTTATTTTTTATATGAAAACTAGCTGCAAGAACCCGCTTCGCTGGGTTTTTATTTGTGGGCAAAAAGTAACGATAGTGAAGATTAAGATAATTACATTATAGCCAATCTTACCCGTTTTCACAAAATGCAAGAATTAGGTCCCCCGTTTCCAGANAAAAATATATTAAAACTGTTTTGAAATATTGCTGATATTTCTGAAGATAATCTTTTTCCGTAAAATGGTCGGAACACACGACATAATTTCTATTTAAATATTCTGGCCCTTTTGTTTTCAAAATCTTGTCTAAATCGGACCTTTTGCTCTTAATAACCCACTGAGTGCATCTGAAAATAAATATAAACACATACGTTGAATGATAGCAATATTTTAAAGGAGGAATGTTGATATAAATGAAAGCAATCTAATTGCTTATTAATTTACATACACTTGTTTGTTTTTAGGGAATTTGTACAACGACTTGTGATCACTTTGTATCTTATAATTAAAGCATCCATACATAGCGCAAATAACTCCTCTTCCGGCCACTCTAATTATTGTGTGATATAAAAATGTTCAAAACTTTATATTAATTAATTTAATACCCAAAAACGTCTCCTTATACACGCAGTACAAATGGAGTGAAGTTTATTTATCTCCTCCAACCACTAGATTGGAGGGCAGAAGCTTGTCGCCAGTTTTCAGAAGTTTCCACTATTGTCGTAGTAAACTATTTGCCGTGACAAAGACTGACCAGTTTTTCAGTTTTATATAGTAGATTATCTGTATTATCATGCAAGTTCGAATGCTATTTGCTTCTTAGCAAAATTAACCCACGAATAGCCTGATGTTATTAGTGATCAGGAATGTGTAAAAACTCTCTGAAAGCCATAAAAAGGACGTTTGTCATAAGTTTGCTTGTCAGCATTTAACTGATAAGACCTTAAAATAGAAACTGTGTAGAATAACTCAAAGTTAAAAATTAGAGACACAAATTTCTAAAAAAATCTAACTTAAATCACAAAAACGGTGTCCAAATTGACAAATTTTATCGTATTATTAATGATATATCAAACGTTCCCAAAATTTATTATTAACTACTTTGTTTCGCTTCAAATGCAACTAAGAAATCCACAAAAAATTTATTTCTTATATGAAATAATTATTTCCGCTTAAACGCAAATCTGACATCCAAAAAAATTGCCGGCAAATAATTCCCGCAAAATAAAAACCCCCGAAAAGTGTTTTTACAAAAAAGTATATAAAAAATAAAAATAATTTAAAATAAATGCTTTTATTTGAAAAATATAGCTGTAAGGATTGTTATTCTTTCGTTTAACAAGGCGTGAAATTTCACACGTGCAGTCTACATTGTTTACAAACTGGTTGACCTTGAGAACAGCTGGAGTCCGCTTTCCCGGGTAGTTTTCAAGTACGCTTCAGGGAAATATTGGTTTAAAGCACGAGGGGAGCTAACTTACCGCATCTGTTATATCCGTATTATGCTGCCGTTAAAAGAGAGATAATGTCTTCAAAAATACTTTACTAATCATAAAATTTGCAACAATATTAGTTGATAAAATGTATTTTGAAAGAAATAGTGTACATGTTTTGTCTGTATGTAATTAATTATTGAGTGATAGATGCACTCCTTATATGAATAATAGTGGAATAACACTGTAGCTCATACAAGGAGTACATCTACCACCCATTAATTAATTATTTTTAAGTCAAATATTTCAGAGATTTTGCTAAATATATAAAAGTTTATATTTATGGGCAGTAATTTCTACTCTGTATAAAATAAAATAACAGAAATATATTTTTAAAATGTTAAAAAGCAGTTAACTGTGAACATACCGTTCGCTTTTTTAAGACGAAATTATATGCTAAAGCATATTCCAGTAAAGATAAAAATATCAGAACGATGCAGAATATAAACCAGACATCCAGAGCCTTTAAATAATCCACAGGAGGCACGAAGCTTCTGGACTGCACCAAATGAGTGACTAAAGTCAGGATTGAAGTCACACCCAAAGTGATGCGTGCGGGTGCTGCGTGAACATCGATCCAAAATGACAGCCACGACAGCATGACCACTAACGTACTAGGGATGTAGACATTCATCAGGTTTCCAGTAAGACGTCGTGTAAACTTAAATTCGGCAATTAACGTAGTAAAATTACCTGAAATTATTTAACAAAACATCTTATATAATAAATAAATAGTTATAAATATAAATTTTAAATTAAAATTTTCACTTCCAGAAAGGATTTTACAATTATTTACAGAAGTTCGGAGAATTGAATGAGCACTTGTTTTTCAACAGCAGGAAAAGTAAATAAATTATTTGACGCTTAAATTTATTTGGAATATTTAAAATATGAACGTTGTTATGTTCATGATTAATTTTATTATGACGTTTGATATAAGCTGTTGTCTCTTTTTTTCTTTCAAGTAGCTGAAAATAGGTTAATTACCATGAACAGAACAATAATACATTAATGTATTCTCTTGTCTGTCATCATGGAATTCGAATACGAAGAGGACATAGATTCTAAGAAAGTCTTTTTTCCAGTACAATTGAGGATTTGGCCATGATCATGAGGAGGCGTGTTGATATATCGTTTTCGAAAATATTCCTAGGATTCTTTGTTTGAGAAGGTCTAATCTCATAGACAAACACCTGCACCACGCCTCAGGGAAAAATCCATCCCAACTAAATATGGGGAATCTCGGACACAAGATAAATTTTAGTATTTATCATGAGACCGGTTAAAGGAAAGTTAGAAATTTTTATTTTAGTTGATACTGCAATCTGTTGGCCACTAAAAATATTTACCGTGTTTTTCCCAGAAAAAAATAATAAACTCTGCAGTGTCCAATGTTTTATTGTGGCTCAGTGTAACCTTGGAAAGCTAGAAAGTGACCAAAATTTGCCAGACAAAAGAAATAAAAAAAAGAAATATAATTTTTTTCATACATTAATTAGAAATTAAAATACAATAGATTCGTCAATTTATATTTGAAAAAAAATGCAACAACGAGTTGCGTAACATTCCCGACTGTTATGAGATGTTATTTGAAACGTATATTATTAATCTCGATAAATAAACTTATGTTGTGTGTTATAACAAAATCACGTCATCTATTGCTTGATTTTGTTATAAAAAGTGTTTATATTATTATTAATCAGTATAAAATGGCAAAAAGCTTAATTTTCAACGTAGTGGCGAGTTTATATCTATATAAACTGTAAATACTAATAACGAGTAAACTCTTTATTGTCTGAACCCAACAAAGATATGACACATGACCCCTTTATATCCCCATCCCCTCGACCTTTAACCACCAAAATTTACTAGCACCAAGGTCTGTGATTTATAAGTTACCATACCAAATTTTAATTTTTAATTTTTAATTTATCCTGAGATAATAAAGGAAATACACGCTTGCCAATACTCCCACACAGGAAATTTTTCCTTTTTTTGACTTTTGGATTCAGGAGGTCTGAAAATGTGGAGATCTGAAAAATTTCTGATGTCAAATTTGACACGATTCCAATACTTTTCCTTGTTATGTATACATAACCGCCGGGAAAATAAAAGGAAAATGAACATCTCAAATATTAAATCACTACAGGTTTAGTTAGCCATGGTAAGGAGCAGATCCTGACCTTGGGCATCTAAAATTGTAAGGTGTTTTATGAGGAAAACAGAACCTAATCTAACACGATTTATTGTGTAATACTTAGACTTTAATTACAATTTATAAATTATGGAAATATTGCATGAAATTAGCATTTTGCGCATAAGTAGCACATAATGATGATATTATTTTAATGCTTCGTAAATTATAAATAATAATGCCATACTGAAATTTGATAGAATAGTAATTAATCTTTATACGAGCAGATGTAATTAAGGGTTAGATAAACGGAATAAATATGTATTCATTAAATTAAATTACAGTAGAGCGTCGTTTATCCGAATCAATTGGGGACTGGGGTTGTTCGGATAACTTATTTTTCGGATAACCGATTATATACGAAAAAATATATTAATCTATCCCGTGTTGAAATTTTTCTCCGTTGCGTGTCGCTTCGCGTTGAATTTTTGTCGATCTTAAGCCTAACGTAAACTTTTTAAAATAATAATCGTGGCTGTTGTATCGTTAATTTAATTTAAAAATGATTTCTTTATGTTTTACAAACGAAATAAATACATTGAAAAATACAAAAACAAATAAAAATTATATTTTAGGCTGAAAGTCTTTCGGATAACCGACGCTCTACTGTATCTCTTATGTAATTAATTTTATATCTTTAAATTATTAAATAATGAAAAAGTAAATGTTGATGACCATAGAAAAACAATAATTACTAATTAATTAATATGAGTTTCTGTTATTAAAACTATTTTTAAGTAATTATATAAATAATATCTATAATATATTTTAATGGTGATTTAATCTATTGCGAGGAGTAAATCTATATATGTACCGCTCACTTGCCAAATCGATTAACTTCATAAAACAAAAAATAGATTAAAGTGACAAAAGTAATACATTCTTTTTTAAAATTCCTTGTAAAATATAAATTCAAATAAACATTGTAGAATTTATTATTGTAGATGTAGCTTTTATTTAACTACATACAAAATGTATAAGATAGCATTGATACGCTATAATCGTTATTATTATTATTACAGTTTTGTGTGATTGAGGGACTTAATCGATTTGGCAATTGAAAAACTTAATAACATCAAATTCAGTCTTGGCATTAGCGTACATTTTTTTAATTAAAGATTTTTCGCCAAAATGAATAATAACTATTTTGTTACTGTTACAATGGTTGTTATTATTTTGTTTAAACTGATTATTCATCAACATAAACGATGTCTTTCTTCTTCGTCAGCTGTATTTGAGTTTTGAGGTCCCATCATGTCGATTTGATCTTAAATGTTTATAAAAATCACGTTTAATAGGAGGAATGAAAAAAATTATTTTTAGTTTCATCCATCTTGATGTAACGGGTATAACTTTTCTTTTTTCTAAAAACAATTGTCACCAAAATTAAAACAATTGTTTAATATTCCACAAGTATACTTACTTCTGCGGCAGTTACACTGTAACTAATTTTTTACTTACTTTTTGTGATGAAATAATATTAAATAATTCACCGTTATCTATAAAGCATTGGTCAGCGCATATTGCAGCATTGCAATCGCAGTGTGCGCTGACGGATTAACGTTACAGTATGGAGTTAATTAGATTGGCTTCTGAAATAAATAAAATATTTTTCGATAGCCAATAAAATTTTATCATTAAGTGGTATCAATCCTTTTTTATATTCATAAGTTTCCCTAATGATAAGTTAAGAGTATATCAAATGCTTTCACACTAAAATTAAAAAAAAAAAATCGAAATGTGGAGTTAATCGATTTGGCTTGTGAATGGCTCATATATGTAGGAATGTATAGGTCTGCAATTTATTGTCACCACTAAAATTGGGCAGCAAGTTTTAAATTAAATTCCAGCCCAATTTTAGTGGTAATTATACGCTACGAGAAGTGATCGCTTGCAGCGACACAGCGGTAAAATTCGGAAGTAAGGGCTTCTGTCTCGGAAACTATGCACAATACAAAAAATGACAATTATAAAGTCGTAGATCATGACTAGTTTACTACGAAAGAACACGCTGCGTACGTGAGTAGATAGCTTGAAATGCTGATTTCTCGATATTCGACTCCTGTTAATATTACGTCACTAAGTGTGCGTCACACAACAATCCGAAAAACCACATGTGGCCAACCCGTGATCAGGCATGTTCGGTGATTTTAGCTACTTTAGTAAGGCAAAATATTGTTCAAGAAGATTACTAAATTGAATTTTTGTATTAAATGGTTCATATGCTGTGCGTCGTAATTTGAAGGGGCCTGTAAAATTTTCAATATTTTACAAGCCCGTTCAAAATTTAAATTATAGTGGACAAATTACGGGACAACTGCTCATTACTTAACATGGGGTGACAATTTACTTTCTCTGTCTGATACTTTGATGGCTTTTAAATTGTTACTTATTTTAATACATATTTGTATAAAAATAAAGTAGATTTTAAAACCATTTTTTCAGTCGGCAATTTGAATTTGGTATTATTATCTGCACAGATAAACATAAACATAAATACAAAGCAAATAATAAAGAATTTTTATGAAATATTTATTAATCACAAGGAATTATTGATACAGTAATAATATAATGGTTACTATCTGCTTCGTATTTTATTCATATCTGTTTCTTTTGAAAAGAATAATGGCGCCGAAAATGAAATTGATTTTTATTTGCCGTGCATAGATTTGTATCTGTCTGTCTTTCAAATCTCATATTGTCAGTTAACAGAGCTGTAATATTCAACTCTGATGTTATTAAGGGTATGCATTTCAAACTACTATATTGATCTTTAGGATGTTCATGCTCACGTGAATTTAGTGTATTAAATGACAAAAAAGTCAGTAAGCTGCATTCTACATGCAGACTAATATTGAAGTTATCGAGTACATAATGGAGAAAAGTATTTATTACGTGATTTTGTTTTAAAATTTTTAAAAACCTTTATATATAAATGTCTATCAAATGCTCTACTGATACAGATGATTGTAAAACTCTAAATTGATAAGTTCATAATTAGACATGTAGAATAGGTTTATTTACGCTCATGGAAAGTAAAAACTTTATATTATTAATTTCATCAAAATTAAATAAATTATGTTTTTAAATCTCAAAAGAATTTTTCTTTAATTTCTATCATCCTGTATATAAAGTTACCTGATTCAGAATGGGTAAAACCTCGTTAAATTTGCTTGCACGTTTTTCAAATCATGGAAAGAGTTTTATGTGAAACAATAGTTCTAAAACTTACCGCTAGAGATGCACATAAATTAGATTTACAAAAAGTTCCTAATATATTATAATTTGCTTACTCAGATAGACACGTTTAACTAGTAAAAATTTTAATAAAGATTGTAATTGTTAACTGCAACACTTACGTCAGATTTCATCAGATCAATTACATGATGCAGTTAAGAATTCTATCTTGCTGTATTAGCTTCTCGTTTCTACCACATCGAACATATCCTCTGATTGACACTAACAGCCACCTCTTTACCAGCATTGTATTGCATTTCAGCAGTACAAATTGTATCTTCACACTGATTGTCAACAATTACAATTTTCATTAAAATTATCAGTAATTAAACGTGTCTGTCTGAGTAAGCTAATTATGGTTGACTAGGAACATTTTTCTAAGTCTAACTGGACACTACATAGCATTCCTAGCAATAGGTTTTAGAACTATTCCTTCTCATAAAGCTCCTCCCCATTGTCTGAAACATGTGCAAATTAAATTACGAGGTTTTGCCCATTGCATAAGGTGCCAAATAGGGTAACTATAATTTGAATCACACTGTACTTTATGTATCGAATGTAAAATTCAAAAAATCAGTTATTAAACTTAACTACAATATAAGAAAAAATAAATAAATGTGGTACAACTTACCGCTGACCCATACAGCTGTATATTTCTTTGTTTGAACATCATTCATCTGAAATTTTAGTAAATTTATATTCCTGATATGAACGCTTTTACCAAGGTACTGATAAGGACTTCCTTCTTCTCCCAACCATTTTAATACAGTTTCTTTATCTGTATATACCTCTTAAAAATCATAAAATAGTTTTAAAAATAGGCTAAATTCCAAATTTTATTCTTACTACAATCTTTATAGCCTTACATTAAATATATTTACTTATGACGTAATAAAATTTAGCACAAAGAACTTAATTAATGTAAAATATGTAAGTAAATTGAATAATAATCATATTATATTTAACATCTAGGTATGAGCCAGTTTCCCTACAGTGCCCTTTTGGGAGGCACCACCTTGAAAATCATCCAATCAGTTCAATTCTATGTAGGCTTATTGACACGCAGCGAAACTTTCAATTTTTTAACGTTTTTCACAAAATATATTGACATTTATATGTATTTTAAATTAAAGGTTGTTACACGATAATTGTATTAGTAAATGGTTCTGTTCGCAGCTCTTAAGACTTCTTTATGGATATACTCACATCGCGTGTCGGTCAAGGTATTGTTTTAATAAGAGTTGTTTTAACTAATGGTTTCGTATCACATCACGAACATTTAATACGGCAAATCAAATTCTTTTGCTTTCTATTTACCTTGCCAAAATAGCTATAAATGCACGATATAAATAGAAAATTTTGAGTAAATATCGATTGGTAAAATTAAAAAAATATATTGTTTTCTCAATAAGTTAAAATATTGTCGGTGTCACGAGATAGTGCCTGGTATACTAAGGTGTCTGACTTTGTGTTAAAGTATAAAAAGATGTAAAATATGTAAAGAGGACTTTAATGTAAATGTCTGTTTTGAAAATAAAACGACAGGTTAATTAATGCAGAGGTGTCATCTTATAAATACTCATGCTATTGTTTTGAATTTATTTTAGTGTAATTTAACACTTGCAGTTACTATGCCCTTCTCCATGTAACAGGGTATCCTCTGTTGCAGTTACCTCACAACCAGATGGTGACCCGCCATAAAAAGGTCTTTCATATTAGTATTAGTGGCTCTCCGGAGCACCCTGTAGATTCTTACGAGGAGAAATTTTGACTTATTAGATTTAGCCCTATTTACGACATTAAATAACATGGAAAAGTATAAAATATATTTCTAAATAAATAGGTTTTTCTTACGAAAAATAAACGAGTGGTTAACTTACTGATAGAAATTAAAAATTGACAAATCTGGACATCCATAGGATAATCGTGTAATTCCATTGGGCAGTCTACTAACAAATTTGTCCTGTAAATCAAGTTGTGTTTAATTTAAAAATTATATAAATACATACAACATATTAAAGATGAATTAAACAGTAAAATAAATATCTTAAGAATGTTATAAATTAATTAAATTAACATAATCTGTAAACAATTAATTACTACGATTTAATATACCTGAGAACTCCGTATAATGATTCGTCCTTTAAAACTTTTACAACAGAAAAACCCGTCGTTTCATCAAATTTCTCGATTTTTTTGCTATTAGGAAATCCAAATTTTGGCATCCAGATTTTCTCTCTTTCACCAGAAGGAAAAACAACGGGATATTCCGAAACTATATGCTTTAAATTCAATCTCGGATCTTTCCAAACTGATATAATCAATAGAAGTAAACGGAAATCCTAAAATTAAATAAAAATGAGTGTTTGTTTTATAATAAATGAGCTGATAAAAATCTAAATATCAATAAATTTTTTCCTTTTTTTAATTCACATCATCATCAGCTTACATCCGTGTCACGTGTCACGAACTCGTTCGGTGAATTGTCCCACTGAACCACTTCGTGATATTCTCGACACGTTTCCGTTGCTATTGACGTAACTCGATACTATTCTGGTCGATTGTTTATAATGCTTCCTCAATGCAAACCGTCTTAAACAAGTTTATTAATTTTGCCCATTGCTTCTATTTCATTTCGTTTTATAACACATTCATTAACATTCTACTCTCCCCTCTTTATCTATTACTCTTCTTTGGATATTGTTTTAGATATCGGCAATTTCATAGACAATACATGCATTATGTAAAACATATACAAATTCCCAAATAGTAACTATATAAAAATTGCTCTTATGTATTGACTTAAAAACGAATTTAGCGATTTAAAGTTAATAAATAAACAAAACAATAGAATTTCATTAGTATTTTTTAAATTTGCACACAAATACACAATACACACGATACAAAACACACACCTACAGTAAACGCAGCTTTGTAAATAATATTCTATATATATAAAATAGAATCTCTGTCTGGTTTCTAAACGATCTGCAACAAATATTTCACATTTACTGTCTAAGACCCGTCTGCTAGTTATAAACACGGAAAAACCTATCTAAAACGGAACCTGCCTAAACGGAAAAATATTCGTGCCATTCCGGTTTATACAGGTTTTACTGTATAAACGAACAGATAAATTTATTAAACGGAATACACATTAGTGATTAAGGGGTGGAATTATTTATTTCTACCCAATTCTGAGTGCTTATTATTCATAAATTCGTAACACTACTGCGAGCGACGGGTTGGAGATTGTACCTCCAAGTTAAGGGGAGAATCTAAAACATTTTTACTAAATAAATTTAGTAAAATTGTCTTTAGGAAATTCAGTATTAATAAAATCGATTTCGTTTTACAACACTACAAGTGTCGTGTAAAATACATCTCGTTTAGTACACTTCATCGATTATACAATAGATGTAATTATGTCATTGTATATTGTAGATTTATAATATAATTTCCCTTTATTATATAATAAACAGAAATTATATTATAAATATGACAGAGGAAAAGTATGGCGATCGGTCAAAAAATGATCTCCCTCCCCCGAAGATTTTTACATTTTTGAACTCTGGGATTTTGGAACATCTATAAATACAAACAAAAATATCGGGACTTTTTCTTGTATGTTGGCATATTAAACTGGGAAACTCCATGTGCGTGTGTGGCACGTTTATAATCATTTCCCTAATTTAAAGCTTAATAATTATGTTCACACAATTTAAAACTTAATAAGTCTTGTCTTTCGTCGAAAATTTCTGAAATTTTGCAGGGAGTTTCGTATGTTAGGGGTATCTATTTTGTTAAATTTTGGTGGTTAAAAGTCGACGGGGTGGGGATATAGAGGAGTCAAGTGTCATATCTCGAGTAGGGTCGGACCGGGAAAGTTACGCAACTTGTTACTGAAATGTTTTTGTTTATTTAAAATAAATGTACTTTAATTATTTAGATACTAATCTTATTAGACTATAGTAGGCCCTCGATTTAATGAATCTTCTTTTCACGGAATTATCGGTAATAGCGTCTACTCCCCTCATTTAGTGGTAAAATTGACGGCCTGTTATATTAAAAGTGAATAAGACATTATTTTTATTAATTCTTTCTATCTCAATATAGTATAAAATATTGTTATCATCAAATGATCAATAGAATTGGTGATAGTGATTAATAATATACCATCTAATGAAAGTAGAAAACGTTATTAAGGTGTTTGTTTATGAATAGTTAGTTAAACTTTGTGATAGATTCGTGATAGATTAACTTGGTGGTGCATGACACATTCTATAACCGCTAAAATAACAAACCAAGTACGAAAAAAATAAATGTTTAGTGAACAAGTAATTACGACCTTCAAAGGGTCTTCGTGTTACACAAATATCAAACTTAAAATAAAAATTTGTGTAGCCTGAAAATGATTCTATGAGGATCGACAGTACTTGTTTACTAAACCTTTGCTACTGTTAAAGTATTTTAAATTTTATTACGACATCCTTACAGAAACCATTTTGTTTGCGCCACACCAGTAGCACAATAGATAAAACCAATGAACATTGCTAGTTGGTTGCGGGTTCGTGTCTGCCAAACATGCTGGCCGCGTGAATCGTGCATGTCCAAGATGTTGGCCGTGTGAAGTTTGCTTAGTTTGCTTCGCGTGCCTACACCTAAATAGGGACCATTTCTTATAAAAGTCCTCCTGAGAGGCACTCCCTCTTGGCAGTTCGCTCGAGTGTTGCGTTGCTTATTCCATCACTTCAGTTTGCATATTGTTTGTAACTATTAGGTTATTGAAAAGTTTAATTACTTGGTATGAATGTAACCAAATTTTTAAATACTCATTAATTGCTATGGTCAAAAAGAGAAATCGAAATTAAGTATTAAATCCACGAGAGCAATGCTAATTATAAAGTAAAATTGAGACTTGCAATGCCACCAAATCAGTATAGTTGATAATAGTCTAACAAATGTACCAACAATTGTTAATAATGCCTAGCAATATTTCACGAAGGAATGTTAATAAGAATGGATATTATATTTATCATCTGAGGCTACCCCTGTCTCATTTTTCTATCGAGAAATGGTTCTCAGCCTAAGTTTATACCTTGTTCCGAAATTACCCCACTCGCCTTACACATGTTCCTCAACGTAAAAGTGCCAGAAAACCCCCATTTACTCATCAACCAACGATTCTAAATGAAAGCTTGGATACAATCTAAACCAGTGTTTTTCAACCTTCTTGAATACGCGACCTCTTTACAAGTTAAAAAATTCTGGCGACCCCCCCAGGGCCATATTAAAACTATATCAGTGATTTTAGAAACTACGTATTTAATTTTCTTTCTTTAAATGTCGATCGAAAAACCAATTGTACTGTAAAATAAACAGGCACAGCCTTCTCACTAAAATTCTAGATTTTTTTATTGTAGTGTAAGACTTACAAACACTTGTCTTTTTCTTTAACCCGCGACCCCCCGTGTAAGGCTTTGCGACCCCTCTGGTTGTCGCGACCCACAGGTTGAAAAATACTGAACTAAACTAATATGTAACCTATTACCCATTTTTTAATATAAGGGTAAGAGAGATAGATAGTGTTTTTTACATTGCGTAAGAGAGAATGACAAAACTCCTAACGAACAAACAAATTTGGACACGTGTTTCTGGATTTTAATTTATACTTTCGTCCTCTTTCCCTATTTATGTAAGCAAAAGAAAAATTACGATTTAAATATTCATACAAGAGAAATAATAACAGGAATTATAATGGTTAATATAAAAAAAATAATGCGGTAGAAGCTATTTACATAATATAAAACGATATTAATCATGTAAATTATTGGTTCACTCACCATGCTTGCTTCATTTATGCTATCGATTCCAAGTATTTGACAGGAAACATAAACAGGTACTGGAAGATCTGAAAAAACGGAATTTTTTGCATTTTTACATTATTATAAATTTGACTACTAAAAAACATAACATGTGACTCTTTATCTCACTTTTGCGATAAAGAAAGAATCTGAGATAAAAGAAATTTTGTTAATTCGGTTTCAAGATCCTTGTATTGAGAAGCTTAGAAGTAAATACTTGACATAATTAATCACGTGAGTTAATTATTATTATTTCTTGAACACTGTAAATAATTTTAGTATTTATTATCTGTATAATTAATTACCTGTAAAGTGTAATATATAATTAGCCTTTATAGTAAGCCTTTGTTAAACCTTAATTTGGTTTAACAAAGGCCCCCCCTTTAACAAGGGCCGTCTTAATAATAATTAATATTGTTATAAATTTTTAAATATTTTAGAAATGAATAATTTAACTGAATACAGTATTTTAAATTTATGTCCTTGAATATCCAACAATATTTCAATCGCTCGATATTAAATCCCGTAATTACAATTACATGTTGAATGTAATTTTGTTTACTTTGAAATGTCCTTATTTTTTACATCTACTGTATATTCAATATTAAATTTGTACTTAAGTTTAAAAAGTAATTTTAAAGTAAAATAAAATGTTTAAAATTCAAAATTATATCTATATTTCTTAATATAATGCACTAGGCATACATAAGATAAAATCCCAAAGCTTTGGGTTTTTTTACAGTCCTATCCGGGGATGATTAATTCCCACTACCGTCTGTCCGCAAGACTGTCCTTAATCTCAAGAACAGAGTTAGGTAGATGATCGGCATGACTATTCTTAACAGTAAAAGTATGATGTACTGTACAAGGGAGAAGACTACAAAATTTCAGAGCATTATGAGGAAAAATTGCAGCCCGGCATTGTGGCATATATATTTAATTATAATTAATACATCGAATACAGTTTTATTTTATATTTTATAGTTTCGAATGCCATAACATTTTATAGTATAAGTATTTTATAGTATAGGTATGCCTAAATACGTGTAAAGTAGAATTGGGGAGCCAAAAGGCCCTACAAATTCGGGTCTCCCTCTATTCTTGTTTCTCCTTATGTTACTAAATAATAATCTGTACAATTAAAGAACATTTTCGTGATAATATCAGTAACTGAAGGATTTACTGTTCCTTCTAATCGGAATATTAGAATTCTATTTAAAATATATAAAGGGTGTTTCTATAGATAACCTTCATATTTATATATACAGTAATCTATCTATAACTATGTAAATTTCAAATATGGATAATTTTAGTAACCTTAACTTACCGTTAATAATTGGTGGGAGATCACGATTATAGTCCTTCGGTACAATTTCCATATCATCACTGTCACTACGGGAAAGAAACACAAATTGTCATTGTTACTTTTACTAATATAATATTTATTATAAATATAAAAGAAGGCTGGTTTTATATAATGCATAATCTCTTTGGTTACTCACGCAATCTCCAGTAGATGGCATAAAAAATTTAATGCTTTTCCTATGGGAAGATCCTTTATCCAAAATTTCTCAAAACGGAAGTAGTTAGAATCAAACAGTTTTTTGCGTTCGATTTCGAATTAATTCCTCTATTAACTCACGGTTCAGAATTTTTAAAATACAATTCGTAAATTTTCTATAAATTTTTAAAATCTTAGAAAATCTGTAAAAAATTAACGTATTGTGTTTTCGAAATTCCGAACTGAATGTTAAAAGAATAATTAATTAGAATTCTAATGCAAAAAAACTATTTGATTCTATTACCATTTTCGAGAATTTTTGGAAAAGGTTCCCCATAGAGAAAGCATTAATTAAATTTCTCACGCGATCTACTGGAGATCGCGTGTATAATCACTTAATTATAAATAAAAATTGAAACTTATTTTAATTTAGAAAATATTCAATGAATTTTAATAGCATGGAACGATAGTTTTTAAATTAATAAATTGTATAATTTCAGATGGTTATAAGAGTGTAAACGGATAAATCTTATAAAAGTTAAATACGTAAATATTCTCCTTAATAGGTTATATGAATAATTAAAATGTTTTTGTCAATATTTTAGTAACTTCTGGGTGTCAACATGTTATTTTGCAAAGAAGATTGCGTTTTAAGAAGCGTATTTTTTAATACGGTCAACTTGTTTGCCATATTATCCTACGTTCTTAAAAATATAATTGCCAGAAAACAAGAAAATATAAGTCAAATAGTAATATGTAAACATACTAAAAGAGTATAGAAATGGCATATTAATACGTAAACAATGTGCCATTTCTATAGCTAAAAAGTAGCATGGATTCTGAAATGTTGAAGGACCCCTCTTGCAAAATGCATTGTCGCAAACACACGAAACAAAAATTGTTATTTATTGAAAATTTATCGATTTTTAAAGCTTGCTTCATTGTAAATAACTCAATGTTTGCAATTTTAGAGAGCAAAATAAGTACTTGAATTAATTACTTATCGGCAATCTACAGTGCCAAGACCCTCACACCACCGTGCATTCCCGTGCATTATCTATCAATAATTTAAATATTCGATTATGTACATTGTTATAAGTTAAAATTGAAAGATAATATATAACTTACCTTGCAAAAGTAATTAATAGGAGCATTAAAGCGGCATAGAAAACCATTAACATTGTCGGCGGTTAAGGTATAAATAACACTATAACGGTAAAGTGTAACGAGTAGTTTGATGTAAAGTCGAAAGTATTGATTGTTGCGAGTAAACAGCGACATGCGATGTAGTGTCGAGTGAAAGGAATGGTCGATACAGAAAGTTGCTGGTTTAAAAGTCAAATTAAAACCGCTGACTTCCGGTTAAGACCAGAATATGGTTTAATCGTGGTTTCGGCCCTTAAGTTTTCCATATCTGGTCTCGATTTTTAACTATCTAACCACGTTATCGAAATTAAGGAAGGACAGACAGACGACAGTGCGATTCTATAGGTCTGCTATTTGAGTGAAGACCAACTAATAAAATTTTGTTTTAACCATCTTTACATTTGGGCCTTGGTGCAAACGCGGCAATAAAGGCCTTCCTGTGAACTTCTGGCCTCTTCGAATACCGCTATTATACATTTTATACTTTAATGTATGATTGTATACTTTGTTCCCCGGCCTTTCCCCCCTTCTTAGCAAAATGACCCCTATGCAGTTGCATAGTGTGCATCTATGGTAGCTGCTGCACTTGTTCAATACAAGTTCAATAGAATTTCTGTAATTTATACAAATTGATTCGACATTTTTATTAAAACTGCATATGTACAGTATATTTTACAAAAGAATATTTCTATAGTTTATCGATTATTTATTTATTTATTTTATTTTATTTTTTGTAAAAAGTTAGTAATCTGTTTGAATAGTTGTGAAGGATCTTATCCAACTAATCAATAACATTAGTAACTATTTTAGATAATTAGAATTGACTTTAGGAATTTTATTTCTAATTACGAGAGGATGAAATCTAATACAGTGAAACCTCATAACAATGGCCACGTGAAGAAAACATTAAAAAATGGCTGCTGTTTAGAGGTAGCCGTCATTGGAGGTTCGACTACAACTAGCGTTTTCCTGTTTGCAGATTGACTTTTAAGATGAAAAAGCGCAATTGCAAAATCAATACGTAAAATTCATTTGCTCGTTAAAGCTTGTGTACTTTTTTTTTTCTAATTTATTTTAACAAAGGAGTCCAGCAGGGCGCCTGCTCCTAATCCCAAGTTTGTGTGTTTTCTGTCCATATATCGTCTCCTCAAACTATTCATTTATATAAATTCACAATACTTTATATTTAAACTATTTCTACTGCTGATTTAGATTTTCCAATTGCGTGCTGAGACCATGTTTTCATTTTTAAACAATTGTTTACTGTTCGATATTTAGTTCCATCAGTGATAGGAGCAAAATCATTGTTTGTTTTAAAAAAAAAAATTATAATATTTTCTTCCTTTTGTTTATTAATTAATAATTAATAAACAAAAGAAACGATATAAATTTATAGAAATAATTGTATATAAGTAAATATTTATGCCATTATCAAATGTTATTATCAATGCTAGCAATCAATAGAAACAAGAGTTAAAGACATTAACGAAATCAATTAATACAGTAGAGCATCGATTATCCGACTCAATTGGCTACTCAGGTTGGTCGGATAACGGAAAAAATCGGATAACCGAAAAGAAGGAAAAAAATACATTATTAGTATAGTATATTAGTATATCCCATGTAATTAGTATATCAGTATGTCGCTATTAACCAACTTCGCATTGAATTTTCATCGATGTTTAGCCTAACAAATTTTTTAAAAAATAATAATCGTCGCTATTGTGTCGTTAAAAATTATTTTTAAATTATTTTATTGCTCACGAAACAAACAACCACTGATAATTAGAAAATTAAGTCTCGTTTAATTAAATATTGGCTTCCTTTCAATGGTCGAGCCGTTGTTGTCAGCTAAAACACGCAATAATTTAACAAAAATAATATTAAAGAAGCCAAGACAGCCAAATATTATAGTGCCACATCACTAGGTGACATTTGAAATTTGCTGACTAGAACGGTCGGTTAACCGATGTGACGGTTAATCGGGGGTCAGATACTCGACATTTTTAATGGACAGACGAACCAACGCATATGACGAATAGTTTCATTAAAAATTAGAATCGCAAAGGTATAATTATATAATAAATCAATCTAAACTATACATAAAAATGTTCTCACTCCATAATTAGTAGGCATAAAAATGATTATTTTAAGTGAAAAATATGCATAAAGAGTTGTAATGATAGTAATGTAAAAAATTAATTAATTTTGAAAATAAACTTCTGTTTGTAATTTTATCCAAAAATAATAAGGTTAATTAATAAGGAGCCTCAAAGACAGTTGTTATAAAATATTCATTCCGTTGTATTTGCAACATATTAAAAATCTTGAATGATTTTTTAATATAACAAGAGCGTAAATATTGTAAGCAGCTCTATCCCTCTGTTTTTTCTTGGCACTGTTTATAAATGGATAAATAGAGGCATAATATCTTATAATTCCGAAAACGAAGTGTAAAAGCATTCAGATCTTTACACGTGGGTAATACATCTGTATAAGCAAGCCAATGAATAGTCCGTTTTAAACGAGGCACGTGACACGTGTGTTTGTGTCTATGTTACCGTTAAAGCTCGAAAGTCGTTAATGTGTACATTATCTAGCTAATCTGCACATTATCTAGGTAATTTGAGAAATAGAACAATTTTAGCAACTCTAACGGATCGCCCTAGATAATGTGCAGATTAGCTAGATAANAGGTCTGTCTTATCAGGTAAATTACTGTACACTGTGTATTCATTAATTTTCATTTTCATGTAGTAAAGGCTTTATGCCTTCATAAAGTACAGTACATACTTTTCCTTTGTTTAACGGTATTTGGGCAGTTTATTCTCTGTTGTATTCTCAAGCAAAGAATACATACAAGTACAGTACAGTATTTTGAGGAAACACTCGTACTTATTCTTTTTTAACCCCCATTCCCGATAACCTGGCATTTTCATAAACTCGGCCACCCTTCGGTCCACATTAGGCAGAGTTTTCGGGACTCTACTGCATTGAATTATTCACACATTACCATATTCGTCTTGTAAAGGCAAATAAGACTGTAATAGTGTTGTCGCCCTACACACACATTTTTAGAGTGGAAAAATTGTTGAAAATCACGTTTTGAAGCATACATCAATTATCCAACAGCTGTTTTGCAGCAAAATTCATTCTCCAATTCAACCAATCAGAGAACCCTTGGCACGTAACAAAGCATCATGGGATTGACTGCTCGTTCTGTTGATGTGTCTGCTGTAATAATGCTCACAATTTTCTAGCTACTTTGTTTTTAATGTTTTGGTATTTAGTGTTTAACAATTGAAATATAGTGTACAATGGATGAACTAGTGTAATTAATAAAGATTGTGTGCAGTTTGAATCTTAACATTATCATCCCTCCAATAAAATAAACACCAAAAATCATTTTTCTTGGTTCTTGTTGTTTTTGATTATGTTAACAATTTTGGTTCATAACTAACATTCTCCATATAAGTTTGTAGAGGAGGGAAAACTAGGATGCAAGTGGGACTTTGAGGCTGTGTGCAAGTGGTTTCTATGCCAACAAAGAAGATATATCATTAAAAAAAATTGTTATAATGTGTGTCAACAATAAATAGTTTTTTGCATTTTTCTGAGTCTTAAAAAGGGGGAGAGTGACATTTGCATCTATTCTCTTCATTTGTAAGACAAACACAAGTATCTTTGTCCACAATCCAGAGATAGGTGGAATCCTGTTGCCTCCATGCAATGGCCTATGGCTCTGAGAATCAGGAATTGAATACAGGCAAACAACTTCATGGTTGGTCTAGAAGAAAAATGTTATAGTGCCAAGAGGAAAAAGAGTAAAAGAAAAAATGCTACTAGTAGAAGTAAATTAGAATGCATGGTGATCACTCTAGGTCTTGCTATTGGCATCCCAACTTTGAACTGGCAGTGCCTTTTCTATAGTACTATACATAGTATTCCATGCTTGAAACTGGAATTCATTGCTAAAGATATTTGGAAATGGACTACTGTATGGAGAACAACTGATGAGTGCATTTTCCCCATACTGCTGACACAATCCAGGGTGCCATCTCACATGTAGACAATGTGGGAGGGACATTGATATCAATGTATTTTGTTTCAGAATTTCCTGAATGTAAAGTCACAACATCCACTTTCCAGCAAGATAATTATTGGCTACACATAGGGTTTCTCAGGAATTGTTCTACAAAAAAAAATTGATGGTATCACTCTTACATGTTTAGCCCCACACTCTAGGTTAATAATGATGAAATATATGAAGAGCTAACTCCTACTTGATGTGTAGCTTTGTCAATGAGTGAATTACTGTATTTAATTGTAACAGTAAAAAGACCTTTTACAAATTTCTATGCTTAGTTTATAAATATAACAATTGTGTTTTTACATCTGTCTAGGTTTTGAGAATTTTTCTCCCAAAACTCTCTCTCTTGAATCCAAATGAAGTTAAAATTTTATTTATCTGAAACCGTAAGTATAAAGTTATTAAACAATTTTAAGAAAATATTCTAACTAATCTAATATAGAGTTATTCTTTTAGAAAAACTTTTCTGTAGGTGAAATAAGGATGTTTATAAAGGATAACGATTAATTGCAAACATCCTTCAACAAAATGAAGTTATTGTAATTGGAAGAATATCATCAGTTTGAAGAGTACTTTTATACAGAAAACTTATTTGTAGGGAAACTTTAATCCAGCACAGATCTAAGGCAGTTTCTGGAATCAATAAAATCAGCATGAGTCACTTTAAAAAAGATAGCTGTAATGATGTCCATATAGAGAATTTAGCTAATTTGAAATATATATTTCTATGCAATGAAACAAAGGAAAGCAAAAAGTACCAATGGATATTGATAATTTTTGCTTTCACTTTCAGCATTTTTTGGCAGTAATAAACTGGAAATTATTAAGCTCGCATTCTTATTGTGGAATCTAAGTAAATTGGCTTAATGGACAAATTTAGAGATCAAGCCAATTTACCTAGATTCCAAAATTTGTTCTAGAACAAAGAAATACAGATAATAATCTTAACTAATTTGCTTTAAAATGAATTCAACACACATTACAGTTATAACTATAGTGATATTTTATTTCATTCTGTGTGGTATAACCAGAATTTATTATTTAGTATGATTTAAATGAATTATGTCAAGTTATCTGTCTGGTGGCCATACACTGTTTTCAAATTCATAATTTCTTTTTTATGAATCTTACACTATATAAAACACAGTATTAGGTTGTTGCAAATTCTCTCTGCTTACAGAATGATTTTCAGACATGCTATATTCCTTGCAAATTGTCCTAATATAGGTTACTCATAATAAGCAATTGTCATGTAAATAATATTCCAATTATAAAACAATTTATTCTGTTCAAAAATAATTTTCAATCATTGATGAAATTTACAAAAAAGATTAAGCTCTGTTACATTCCATCTTGTAAAAATACTAGCAATTATTTTTGCTCACAAATTAAAATTTTTGTTCAAAATCAATATTTATAATCCTTGTAAAGTCATTAAGATGTTCCTAAGTTTGTTTCAATTTTATATATTATTTTTTACAGCTTTTATAAAATAATGACAAATATGAAACCATATTTACATAATATTACAACTTCAGTTTCTTTCAAAATATCCAGCTGATTGAATTACTCTCTAACAGTGACAATGTCAAATTTGAAATTATGAGAACCTGTAAGAAAATAAACACATTTTAGACATACAAAAACAATATACCTGTAGAACATAGCTTACATATGCTATTAATCAAAGTTCATTTTATAAACCAAAAGGTAATAAACTTAGCAATTATCTATCTATTCTCCATTTTTCACAAGCAACATTTAAACTGTATTTAGATAGCCCAGCATTAAAGACATACACGTTTGGTCTTTTTGTTTGGATTGTCGTTTTCCTAGTCCCAAGGTGGATCCAAGTTCCATTATCAACAGAAAACTCATATATTTGCAGAATAGACTAGAAGTTAAACTAATGAATGATATTTGTCCATTGTTCCATTTGATGTTGACCAAAATCTGGACTAGAAAACAAGGAATGTTTTCTGTTTTCTAAGCCAAGTTAGCTCAATTGCAACAAGTGCTACAATACATTCTCTAAAATTAAAGTACTATTACTTTTAAAAAACTTATTTTATCCTGGATTCTTAAATATTTAAATTTTGATATTGTCTTACATCCTTTACAACCATAGGAACTGAATTCCTTTTATAAAAATGCTATTCTAGATGGACTGTTCATATTTCTAAACAGAGGGGAGCCTCAAAGAAAAGATGCTCTTAGTTCTCTGAGATAAAAAGATTAAAGAAAGAAAACAAAGATCAAGTGGTATAGTAAAGTAGTAAAGTTGGTAATCCAGCCATTTGCAATAATTTGATAAAACTTGAGTGTGGATTAATGTTGAATTATTGTATGGTGTCAAAGAATCTTTACTCAAGTTTTCCATTAAATGTAGCATGATATCAAACCTGCTCAATTGATGTGTTAGTGTGCTGTAAGCTATAATTTTAAGTTGAATATTTAGATGTTTAGCTTCTGTCCTCGATTCTTGTATTTTCCAGAAACTTCTTGTCCTCATTCCTACTTCACTAGGTTGATGATTGATGTTCTCAACTGTTCAGTGGGAGAGAAAATACCTAAAGGCCTAAAGGGGAGAAGTAATGATTTTCAAACTGGAGGAGACAGTGGAGAGGAGAGCAGAGATTGATCATAATTGAAGCAAAGGACTTAACTGAAGCCTCTGGATTCTTAATTGCTGATAATGTATACTTTCATGGGAATCAAAGCAGACACTTTAACCTCCCAAAAAGAAAAAAATTTCACTGAGAATCATCGAAAGTAATCATCTCTGAAAAAAAAGGAATCAACCGAGTATAGGTACCCTTTCTTTTGTCTATTTTAATTTTCCATTTGTTCGTAATACATATAGAGATAGTTTCTTAAAACTAATCATGCCCGTTTAACGAAATTTTAAGATTGGAATCTTGTTTGTTTTCTTGGGAAGAGCTGGGCAAATGCCTTAGAGTTTGCGCAAAAAAAAAATTTTGGATGCCTTGTATTATCATTTCTTATTAAATCAATTGTTGTTTTAATTATGTACTGTCTTAATAGTATTATATTTAATCCTTATGTATTAGACAGAACTGCACTTAATCAAAAACATGTATACTATTTGTGATAATACAATGTACTATCATCATGCAAATAATATTACTGCAAAAACTGGATATACTAATGATAATTAAAGACTCTGTATTTTAAATGCATTTGGAGTTATTATTTTTGTTACTGGGTTTAAGTTCCACTTTTTCTTTTATGGCCATTTAAAACTACAGGACAAAATGTTATGGAAGTCGGTAATAGTTTACAGGAAGTCATGAGATTTTATTACCCCTCAAAAAAAATAGTTCAAAAACTTTCCACCAGCGGGGAAATGACACTGTATGCAATACTGTTAAATGAAATAAGACATGAAGTCATTGATTAAAAACGAAAATGAACAATTTGGCAGAATTGAAAAATGCCTCATTTTTGTTTTCAACCAATGTCTTTATGTCTTATTTCATTTAACAATATTGCATACAGTGCCATTTCCCACTGGTGGTGAGTTTTTGAACTATTTTTTTTAGCAGAAAATAAAATTCCATGACTTCCTATAAACTATTATCAAGTTTCATAACATTTTGTCCAGTAGTTTTCCTTTTATGGCCATTTCAAACTGGTACTTTAAAGACCCTGTATATTTCTTAAAATGATTAGTTTTTCAATAAGGCAAATTTCTACAGCTTAAAAACTAAAAAATTTATAATTTGTTTTTATCAATACAGTAGAGTCTCGAAAACTTGGCACTCGATAACCCGGCAGTCCAAATAACTCGGCCAATCCTTGGCAGGGCAAAAAAATCCTTAGTTAATTAATTTTCATTATAGACAGCTTTATACCTCTTAAAGTATTTTTCTGAGGTCTGTCTGATCAGGTAAATTACTGTACACAGTGTATTCATTAATTTTCATTTTCATGTAGTAAAGGCTCTATGCCTTCATATAGGACGTACTTTTCCTTTTTTTAAGGGTATTTGGGCAGTTTATTCTCTGCTGTATTCTCAAGTAAGCAATACATACAAGTACAGTACATTATTTTCTGAGGAAACACTCATACTTATTTTTTTTAACCCCATTCCCGATAACCCGACATTTTCACAAACTCGGCCACCCTTCGGTCCACATTAGGCCGAGTTTTCGAGACTCTACTGTATTATCATAAATCTAAAGATCTTTAAAAATGAGCAAATATTTATTGTGACATCATCACAATGGCGGGCTGCAATTTTTAATTAATTAAATTTAAAATATATTCTCTCAATCTCAAATTAGTAGTGTCTTGCCCCTGTAAAATACATCATACCTATCCTGTTAGACAGCAACAGAGTCATGCCGGTCATTAACTCCTTTCGGGAAAATTTTTGAATTAAAATGATGTAACTTCTGGTTTGCATCAGAAGTTCTTATATAGATGAAGGCAGAGACCAGATATGGAAACAAGGTAATGAAGCTGCCAAGTAACTTTATAGCTCAGTTCTTGAGATTAAAGAATTTGTTAGGCTGTAATTTTAAGAACTTGTAGACCTATAAATTCCCATTGTTGTTTGTCTGCACATCCTTCCTTAATTACCTTTTCATCCATGTAGTAATCAAATGAAGCAGGAACTGAATTGGCATTAACAGATTTTGGCCAGTCTTCACATCCTAATACTTTAACATATCCTAACTTTGGCATATTTTTATATTTTATTAAAACTGGATTCATAGTGAGTGTGTTCTATAAATATTTAAATAAATTTTCTTTAATATGAAATAAATTATAAAATACATAAATCATACACTTTGAAAAATATACATACACTTTTTGCTTTGAACGATATATAATTATATTCAGATTCTGCAAAAATAAATACAAATTTATTAATACATTAAACTAAATTCCAATACATCTAAGCAATCAATAAAGGAATTCGTACGAATTGATTCTCCATCGTCCCAATAAAGATCTCCAATTGCCATTTTTGAACTATTTAAAGCAACAATCAGATAAAAAGGATTTAAGCGACTGAAATAATAAATATTAAATTTTAAAATTTCGTAGGTAAAGATATTTGTTTAAAAAAATAAATTGCACCACAACACAACACCTTAAGTTGCTGAGAATTTTATTAAAAAACACAACTAATGTTTTCAGCCAAATCTATTGGTCAAACATTAGTTGTGTTTTTTAATAAATTTCTCAGCAACTTAAGGTGGTGTATTGTGTTTTGCATTTTGCTGAGTGAGTTTATTTGAATAAATTGCACCTTTCCAGTGTTGTATTGGCAGGAATTTGACCAGGAATAATATAACCACCACGTATAGTTAATTTTACAGTGCCGAGAGGAACATGTAAAATAACACGAGTACCGGTGTTATTATATATTTTGCTCGTATGAAAATCATACCAAGTGTCTCGAGGAAAATATGCATTTACTTTTGATTTATTCTAAAAATGGAGAAGATTAATTAAAAATTTCATTTGTTAGTTATACGAAATAAAAAATTTAACTTACTGGATTAAGGACAGGAATGATCATCAAAGATTCTCCCCAGAGAAACTGATCATCTATGAAATAAGTGTTTCTATCAGTAGTATACCTGCAAAAATTATTAGAAATTTCTGTGAAGCTTGATATCATTTTATACATTTTCAAGTTAGTATTATTTTTTTCTCATAAAGAAACTAATTTAAGTTTAATTCATGGAGAAACATTTCTGACCAACTTTGGCTCACAATAACCTTCAGAATGAACACAGAATATGTTGTGTCCTGCACCATGCATTCATTTTGAATGTCACTGAGCTGAAGCTGGCCAAACAATGGTACAAGAAACTAAAGTTTAATTAATGGATAAACACTAACATTAGACTATTGCAATTTGAAGTTATGTTTATAATACATACATTCAAATATGGAGATTTGTTTTAAAATGACAAGAAACTAAATTATATATCAAATTAGAGCACATTAACAAAATGTATTAATCAATGGGTTATATTTCCCAATAATAGATAATGACGTTAGTTACTGCAATTTTCAAATCATTTGGATAAAAATTCTGTTATCCTGGTATTACCTATGAAGACAGATTTATATTTTCAGGTATATTTAGCAAATAACTTAAATGACAATACACCATTTGGCTGTAATTAATGATAGAATAAATATCTTCATAATCAAATTTCAAAATACTGCCAAAATCTGTTGAAATCACTTGATGTGATGATGTAATTAAGTCCAAATTAGCCTTGGAGTTTTAACTCCAGTTTTTTTCTTTTAACATTCTCTATTACAAAGTAATAAACTCAATAACAATTATTATTGTAACCAACTAAAAGGAACTACAATGAAGCTACTCAAATATATGGCAACTTTGATTTACAAAATTAAATTGTTTATGTTGTCACATCATTACAAAAAATTAGTAGTCACACATTAAACACTGAAAATGTTGGGCTCAGACATCACTGTATTACAATTCAATTCAACAAATACAAACATCTCAAAATCCAATATATTAGTAATATTCCAAACAACCGGATATACCACAGTTGAGCAATGGTTGGCCAAGTGCCGTAAGTAGGTGGTTATAGGACAAAGATACTGAAGGCATCCCCAGTCGGTGCCATTAGTAACTGAGGATGGTTATATCATAATTAAATATTTCTGGAAGAGGAGATTGGTCTGAAGGCTCAGGTAGCATAACAGAAACACATCTGCATGGAAACTGGGAGTTGCAGGTTCAAGTCCCACTCTGAGCCAATTCTTTTCTTCTGGAATATTCTAATTATTTATAATTATTAAATTTAATAAGAGATGGCACTAACATCTGCCTCTAGTGACAAATTACTGTATTTAGAAATGAATTAATCACAGAGAAAGAGCCCAATTTAATCTGGTAATCTGGAGAAATAGCCCAATTTGGCAAATAAAACAAATTTTATTAGAATTGTAAATCAAAATATTACTTCCTAGAAGATTTAGTAAACTGTTATGTAAGATTGAATTTTTTAGAAACACACATTTAGTTCAACAACTATAGATAACAATTTTAAGTATTTTAATTCTTAAAAACTAGAGATAAAAATGTTTCTGGTATCCTGAACTAAGCATTTATTTCTGGATGTATCATTATAGTATCGAGTTGTCAAGTAAAATTTAGTTATTTTTGCTATGGAAATGCAAATTTATTTTGTTTCTGCAATCAATAGGACATCAAAATGTTTCTATTTTGGAAAGTCTGATTTAAAATTTTTAATATTAGGAGATATTATTCAAAAGATACAGTAATAATCAAAATTTGTTCTATTAGAACTTATTATTTGTAGATATAAAGATGTGCTTAGAGAAAATATTTTTGAAATTTAATTATTGTTGTAATTAAATGATCTTTCTCTTCTATTGATTGAAAAAAATGGACTAAATTAAGGAGGATAATATATATTCTGAATATTCAAAGGATATGTAACACAACAATACATATTTAGGATTAGATTATCAAAATTTTTTATAACGTAATATACAGCGCAATTGGTAAAGTCTCTCTTTGGTGGGTGGGAAAATGCGAGATGATTCAGGAACAAAGTAATGACCATTACTTTGTTCCTGAATCATCTCGCATTAATAAAATGTCCCTGAATAATAAAGCCAATGAGCATGGCCCACTACAGAGGGCCATGCTCATGTGGCTTTATTTAGAACACTGGATATGCTATTATATTAAAATTGTAATTAACTTCAAAGTGGTTGAAGGGTAATTAGGAAAACTCAAGTTGGAAACAGATGGATGAATTTGAACCAGAAGACTATAATCAAGATCTTGACTTCACTGACAAGAATGACAATATAACAACCAAATCAGAAGATGGTTAATATTTTGTCCTAACCAAATTGGAAGATGCTGAATCAAGTTAACTATGAAAACAGTAATTATTTCAAATGTTGTAGCTGTAACCCATAAATATACACAGTCAATAAAATGTTTTGATGACTTGAAAAATGTAAAGTTTATTTCTTTCTTTCAATTTTTCCCACTCATCTCCTGTTGCAATGTAATAAACCCCGAGGAGTATACATGTTTTAACTTCGTGTTTAAAGAGTTTATTTTTAATTCTCCAGAGTTTAATCAATTGAAATACAGTATTAATAACATTAAGTTTATAAAAAAATACTTACTCAAAAAATAATGGCCTTGCAACAGCATTACCAAGTCGATAACTTTTACGGAATAAAGTATACAGATACGGCAGAAAGAAATAACGAGTCATGACAGTTTCTTTAATAGCAGAAACTACTTGAGAATGTAAAGCATCAGAATCTTGTTCCTGTATGAATTTAATTAAATTTANTGGAATGCATTTCATTCCTATAGTGGTAAGTATAATCGAATTAAATTAAATATAGAATCTATTTATTTATTTATTGTTTAAAATAAGGATCCCGGTATTAGTAATTGTGAAGAACAGGGAACATATCCTCCTTATGATGATGGCATAGAAATGGATGTTTTCGTCAAAAACATCACTGGAGACATTTTTGTTGGAAAGGCAAACATTTCATTGTTATGCTATTAAAGTTATAAATATACATGAATAATTTGAATTTTATAAATTGATTGCAATTTTAGGTTTGGAACGAAGTTACTACAGTTTATCCAGATTTTACTCATCCAAATGCATCTAAGTATTGGAGTAAGCAATTCGAAAGATTTTATTCAGAAATAAAATTTGACGGTGCTTGGATTGTATGTGTTGCAGCATTCAATTTTTTTTTTATGTATGTAATTTTGCTAGTGATGTAATTAGATCTATTGTCTTATTGATTTTCAGGATATGAACGAACCGGCAAACTTTCTGGATGGACAAGGTAATGGATGCCCAAATACAACTTACGATTTTCCACAATACGTTCCGGGTGGCGTCGAGCCTTTGCATACGCACACTCTTTGCATGAGTTCTAAACACCACGAAAGCATACATTATAATATCCATAGCGTTTATGCCTTTAACGAGGCTATAATAACTAATAAGTAAGGTTTTCGTTAATTCGTAAATTAATAGTTAATTGAAATAGTAAAAATAATCGAAATTTTTACAGATTATTGAAAACCCTTCTGAATAAACGTCCATTCGTAATATCGAGAGCCTCTTTTGCAGGATTAGGCCATTATTCTGGGAACTGGAATGGAGACATTTTGTCTACGTGGGACGATATGAGATGGTCGATACCGTGTAAGACGACAAAGTTTATTATTTATAATCAATGGCATATCCTGGAGCAAATCATATCCCTCTGTTACCATGCATGTTCTTATTTTAGATATTTTAAATTTCAACATGTTCGGCGTATCGATGGCCGGAGCTGATATTTGTGGTTTCGAAGAAAACACCACCATAGAACTTTGCAGTCGATGGTCTGCTTTAGGAGCTTTCTACCCGTTTTCTAGAAATCACAACTCTAATGATACCATTGTAAGTTTTTGAAATAAAATTAAATCCACAATTTCAGCATCTGCTAAGTTTTTCAGGAGCAAGATCCGGTGATACTCGGACCTCAAGTAACTGCTGCCGCTAAACAATCGCTTACTACACGATATTTTCTATTACCGTTTCTTTACACCTTGTTTTATAAGAGTCACGTGTACGGAGATCCCGTGGTTAGACCATTATTTTTCGAGTAAGTAATGTTATCACTTACCTACACAACAGCAGTTTCAATTGATAATTGTAATATTTTAGATATCCAACTGATCCTAAGACTTTTGCAATTGACGAGCAGTTCCTGTGGGGAAGATCATTAATGATAATACCCATTTTATATCCGGTAAGTTAAATTTTTGAGTGTCCTTATCAAATACATACTTAATTGTTCTTATCATCATAGAATGTCTCTAATGTAAATGGGTATTTCCCAAACGATACTTGGTATGACTACTATACTGGAAAAATGTACGTTGAGAGGGGTAGTAATATCCTCATACATGTACCAATAGATAGAGTACATTTGGCAATTCGGGGCGGGTTTATTCTACCCGCTCAATTTCCATCGGATACCACAACTAAAAGGTGAGCTTTCTCTACGTTTTAATTTCTTATTATGCAAACATTCATAAAATCAAGTTTCAAATATATTTTTAATTGCTTTAAGAATGGTGGGATCATCACCATTTTTCTTGAAAACTTGAGTTTAAATACTTCAGAAGTTAATATGCACTATTTTTATGGATAAGATTGCTGCAACAAATGAAAGATTGAGATATTCCTAAAATTTTTGGAGGACTTCAGTTCCATGGCTCTAGGATCCCAACAACCTGATTAATTGCTGCATTTGTACCTTTTAAATGAAACTATTATAAACTTCTCACGTCTGTTAAACTAAACAGCATGAGTATTTTTTATGGAATGTCTCATACATCATGAAAAATTCATTATAGCAATTAAAATAATTGAAAGATTCAATATTACATCTTGATTTAATAGAAATTTTAATTTTTACTTAGTCGTTTGAATGGTTTCTTCTTAATCGTTGCTCTCAATGATTCAAAAATGGCGGAAGGTGAACTCTTCTGGGACGATGGAGATTCTTTAGGTAATTGTACAGATTTTATGAATTAGAATAAACGTGCATTTTGAAATGTGAATTTTATTCCCAGATTCGTTAGAAAGTAGCAAGTATAACATTATTGAATTTAAAGCATATAATGTAAGTTTAAAAAAAATATATTTTTTATATTTATAAAAGATAAAAAATAATTTTTATATATTATAAATTTTAGAATTTAATAAATTTACAGAATTATTTGAAAACCATCCCAGTAATGAAAGGTTATGATAAGATGCCAAAATTAGAAACTGTTAAGGTATTAGGATGTGAAAGGAAACCGAAATCAATTCTTGCCAATGGTGTAGTGGTCTCATTTCAATATAACAAATATAATCAGGTAATTATGCTTCTAATTATTAATAAAGTTTACTGGACAATTGTTTTTCCACACATTTACTGTAATATACTGAACATTGTAAAATCCAAGTGTAAAATTGTCATGCATAACTTTAAATTCATATCCTATTAGCAGTAAGCGTTCTAATTTTCTATAAATTCCCCATCAATATGTATCAGTGCCATAAACTTAAAATGTCTTAAAAGAATACAATTGAATCTTTTTATACTGTTCTCACATTATTACATTTATTCTGTTTTGCAAAATTTATACCCATTGACAAAAATAATCTTGTTGACTTCATACAATTCTGTCTGGTACATATCAGAGTTCTGTAGTAAATTGATTTCAATTATGATTGACTGCACCCCAGCATGCTGAAGATTTTAAGTCTTCAAATGACAGATATTATGCAAAACTGAAGTTTGAGAAAAGCTATGACATCAGGTAAGGTAGTCGTTTCATTACTTGTCCATAATCTGGACCATGAACAGATGTTGGGATAATGGATGTTTGAAGGGTATAGATGCAAAAGTCACATTATCAAATTTTTGGCAGTACAGTAGAGTCCCGGAAACTCGGCACTCGATAACCTGGCAGGTCGGATAACTCGGCCACACCTTGGCAGGCCGAAAAAACCCCTAGTTAATTTTCATTATAGACAGCTTTATGCCTCAAAGTATTTTTCTGGGGTCTGACTTATCAGGTAAATTACTGTACACTGTGTATTCATTAATTTTCATTTTCATGTAGTAAAGGCTTTATGCCTTCATAAAGTACAGTACATACTTTTCCTTTGTTTAACGGTATTTGGGCAGTTTATTCTCTGTTGTATTCTCAAGCAAAGAATACATACAAGTACAGTACAGTATTTTGAGGAAACACTCGTACTTATTCTTTTTTAACCCCCATTCCCGATAACCTGGCATTTTCATAAACTCGGCCACCCTTCGGTCCACATTAGGCAGAGTTTTCGGGACTCTACTGCATTGAATTATTCACACATTACCATATTCGTCTTGTAAAGGCAAATAAGACTGTAATAGTGTTGTCGCCCTACACACACATTTTTAGAGTGGAAAAATTGTTGAAAATCACGTTTTGAAGCATACATCAATTATCCAACAGCTGTTTTGCAGCAAAATTCATTCTCCAATTCAACCAATCAGAGAACCCTTGGCACGTAACAAAGCATCATGGGATTGACTGCTCGTTCTGTTGATGTGTCTGCTGTAATAATGCTCACAATTTTCTAGCTACTTTGTTTTTAATGTTTTGGTATTTAGTGTTTAACAATTGAAATATAGTGTACAATGGATGAACTAGTGTAATTAATAAAGATTGTGTGCAGTTTGAATCTTAACATTATCATCCCTCCAATAAAATAAACACCAAAAATCATTTTTCTTGGTTCTTGTTGTTTTTGATTATGTTAACAATTTTGGTTCATAACTAACATTCTCCATATAAGTTTGTAGAGGAGGGAAAACTAGGATTTAACTTTGAGGCTGTGTGCAAGTGGTTTCTATGCCAACAAAGAAGATATATCATTAAAAAAAATTGTTATAATGTGTGTCAACAATAAATAGTTTTTTGCATTTTTCTGAGTCTTAAAAAGGGGGAGAGTGACATTTGCATCTATTCTCTTCATTTGTAAGACAAACACAAGTATCTTTGTCCACAATCCAGAGATAGGTGGAATCCTGTTGCCTCCATGCAATGGCCTATGGCTCTGAGAATCAGGAATTGAATACAGGCAAACAACTTCATGGTTGGTCTAGAAGAAAAATGTTATAGTGCCAAGAGGAAAAAGAGTAAAAGAAAAAATGCTACTAGTAGAAGTAAATTAGAATGCATGGTGATCACTCTAGGTCTTGCTATTGGCATCCCAACTTTGAACTGGCAGTGCCTTTTCTATAGTACTATACATAGTATTCCATGCTTGAAACTGGAATTCATTGCTAAAGATATTTGGAAATGGACTACTGTATGGAGAACAACTGATGAGTGCATTTTCCCCATACTGCTGACACAATCCAGGGTGCCATCTCACATGTAGACAATGTGGGAGGGACATTGATATCAATGTATTTTGTTTCAGAATTTCCTGAATGTAAAGTCACAACATCCACTTTCCAGCAAGATAATTATTGGCTACACATAGGGTTTCTCAGGAATTGTTCTACAAAAAAAAATTGATGGTATCACTCTTACATGTTTAGCCCCACACTCTAGGTTAATAATGATGAAATATATGAAGAGCTAACTCCTACTTGATGTGTAGCTTTGTCAATGAGTGAATTACTGTATTTAATTGTAACAGTAAAAAGACCTTTTACAAATTTCTATGCTTAGTTTATAAATATAACAATTGTGTTTTTACATCTGTCTAGGTTTTGAGAATTTTTCTCCCAAAACTCTCTCTCTTGAATCCAAATGAAGTTAAAATTTTATTTATCTGAAACCGTAAGTATAAAGTTATTAAACAATTTTAAGAAAATATTCTAACTAATCTAATATAGAGTTATTCTTTTAGAAAAACTTTTCTGTAGGTGAAATAAGGATGTTTATAAAGGATAACGATTAATTGCAAACATCCTTCAACAAAATGAAGTTATTGTAATTGGAAGAATATCATCAGTTTGAAGAGTACTTTTATACAGAAAACTTATTTGTAGGGAAACTTTAATCCAGCACAGATCTAAGGCAGTTTCTGGAATCAATAAAATCAGCATGAGTCACTTTAAAAAAGATAGCTGTAATGATGTCCATATAGAAAATTTAGCTAATTTGAAATATATATTTCTATGCAATGAAACAAAGGAAAGCAAAAAGTACCAATGGATATTGATAATTTTTGCTTTCACTTTCAGCATTTTTTGGCAGTAATAAACTGGAAATTATTAAGCTCGCATTCTTATTGTGGAATCTAAGTAAATTGGCTTAATGGACAAATTTAGAGATCAAGCCAATTTACCTAGATTCCAAAATTTGTTCTAGAACAAAGAAATACAGATAATAATCTTAACTAATTTGCTTTAAAATGAATTCAACACACATTACAGTTATAACTATAGTGATATTTTATTTCATTCTGTGTGGTATAACCAGAATTTATTATTTAGTATGATTTAAATGAATTATGTCAAGTTATCTGTCTGGTGGCCATACACTGTTTTCAAATTCATAATTTCTTTTTTATGAATCTTACACTATATAAAACACAGTATTAGGTTGTTGCAAATTCTCTCTGCTTACAGAATGATTTTCAGACATGCTATATTCCTTGCAAATTGTCCTAATATAGGTTACTCATAATAAGCAATTGTCATGTAAATAATATTCCAATTATAAAACAATTTATTCTGTTCAAAAATAATTTTCAATCATTGATGAAATTTACAAAAAAGATTAAGCTCTGTTACATTCCATCTTGTAAAAATACTAGCAATTATTTTTGCTCACAAATTAAAATTTTTGTTCAAAATCAATATTTATAATCCTTGTAAAGTCATTAAGATGTTCCTAAGTTTGTTTCAATTTTATATATTATTTTTTACAGCTTTTATAAAATAATGACAAATATGAAACCATATTTACATAATATTACAACTTCAGTTTCTTTCAAAATATCCAGCTGATTGAATTACTCTCTAACAGTGACAATGTCAAATTTGAAATTATGAGAACCTGTAAGAAAATAAACACATTTTAGACATACAAAAACAATATACCTGTAGAACATAGCTTACATATGCTATTAATCAAAGTTCATTTCATAAACCAAAAGGTAATAAACTTAGCAATTATCTATCTATTCTCCATTTTTCACAAGCAACATTTAAACTGTATTTAGATAGCCCAGCATTAAAGACATACACGTTTGGTCTTTTTGTTTGGATTGTCGTTTTCCTAGTCCCAAGGTGGATCCAAGTTCCATTATCAACAGAAAACTCATATATTTGCAGAATAGACTAGAAGTTAAACTAATGAATGATATTTGTCCATTGTTCCATTTGATGTTGACCAAAATCTGGACTAGAAAACAAGGAATGTTTTCTGTTTTCTAAGCCAAGTTAGCTCAATTGCAACAAGTGCTACAATACATTCTCTAAAATTAAAGTACTATTACTTTTAAAAAACTTATTTTATCCTGGATTCTTAAATATTTAAATTTTGATATTGTCTTACATCCTTTACAACCATAGGAACTGAATTCCTTTTATAAAAATGCTATTCTAGATGGACTGTTCATATTTCTAAACAGAGGGGAGCCTCAAAGAAAAGATGCTCTTAGTTCTCTGAGATAAAAAGATTAAAGAAAGAAAACAAAGATCAAGTGGTATAGTAAAGTAGTAAAGTTGGTAATCCAGCCATTTGCAATAATTTGATAAAACTTGAGTGTGGATTAATGTTGAATTATTGTATGGTGTCAAAGAATCTTTACTCAAGTTTTCCATTAAATGTAGCATGATATCAAACCTGCTCAATTGATGTGTTAGTGTGCTGTAAGCTATAATTTTAAGTTGAATATTTAGATGTTTAGCTTCTGTCCTCGATTCTTGTATTTTCCAGAAACTTCTTGTCCTCATTCCTACTTCACTAGGTTGATGATTGATGTTCTCAACTGTTCAGTGGAATACCTAAAGGCCTAAAGGGGAGAAGTAATGATTTTCAAACTGGAGGAGACAGTGGAGAGGAGAGCAGAGATTGATCATAATTGAAGCAAAGGACTTAACTGAAGCCTCTGGATTCTTAATTGCTGATAATGTATACTTTCATGGGAATCAAAGCAGACACTTTAACCTCCCAAAAAGAAAAAAATTTCACTGAGAATCATCGAAAGTAATCATCTCTGAAAAAAAAGGAATCAACCGAGTATAGGTACCCTTTCTTTTGTCTATTTTAATTTTCCATTTGTTCGTAATACATATAGAGATAGTTTCTTAAAACTAATCATGCCCGTTTAACGAAATTTTAAGATTGGAATCTTGTTTGTTTTCTTGGGAAGAGCTGGGCAAATGCCTTAGAGTTTGCGCAAAAAAAAAATTTTGGATGCCTTGTATTATCATTTCTTATTAAATCAATTGTCGTTTTAATTATGTACTGTCTTAATAGTATTATATTTAATCCTTATGTATTAGACAGAACTGCACTTAATCAAAAACATGTATACTATTTGTGATAATACAATGTACTATCATCATGCAAATAATATTACTGCAAAAACTGGATATACTAATGATAATTAAAGACTCTGTATTTTAAATGCATTTGGAGTTATTATTTTTGTTACTGGGTTTAAGTTCCACTTTTTCTTTTATGGCCATTTAAAACTACAGGACAAAATGTTATGGAAGTCGGTAATAGTTTACAGGAAGTCATGAGATTTTATTACCCCTCAAAAAAAATAGTTCAAAAACTTTCCACCAGCGGGGAAATGACACTGTATGCAATACTGTTAAATGAAATAAGACATGAAGTCATTGATTAAAAACGAAAATGAACAATTTGGCAGAATTGAAAAATGCCTCATTTTTGTTTTCAACCAATGTCTTTATGTCTTATTTCATTTAACAATATTGCATACAGTGCCATTTCCCACTGGTGGTGAGTTTTTGAACTATTTTTTTTAGCAGAAAATAAAATTCCATGACTTCCTATAAACTATTATCAAGTTTCATAACATTTTGTCCAGTAGTTTTCCTTTTATGGCCATTTCAAACTGGTACTTTAAAGACCCTGTATATTTCTTAAAATGATTAGTTTTTCAATAAGGCAAATTTCTACAGCTTAAAAACTAAAAAATTTATAATTTGTTTTTATCAATACAGTAGAGTCTCGAAAACTTGGCACTCGATAACCCGGCAGTCCAAATAACTCGGCCAATCCTTGGCAGGGCAAAAAAATCCTTAGTTAATTAATTTTCATTATAGACAGCTTTATACCTCTTAAAGTATTTTTCTGAGGTCTGTCTGATCAGGTAAATTACTGTACACAGTGTATTCATTAATTTTCATTTTCATGTAGTAAAGGCTCTATGCCTTCATATAGGACGTACTTTTCCTTTTTTTAAGGGTATTTGGGCAGTTTATTCTCTGCTGTATTCTCAAGTAAGCAATACATACAAGTACAGTACATTATTTTCTGAGGAAACACTCATACTTATTTTTTTTAACCCCATTCCCGATAACCCGACATTTTCACAAACTCGGCCACCCTTCGGTCCACATTAGGCCGAGTTTTCGAGACTCTACTGTATTATCATAAATCTAAAGATCTTTAAAAATGAGCAAATATTTATTGTGACATCATCACAATGGCGGGCTGCAATTTTTAATTAATTAAATTTAAAATATATTCTCTCAATCTCAAATTAGTAGTGTCTTGCCCCTGTAAAATACATCATACCTATCCTGTTAGACAGCAACAGAGTCATGCCGGTCATTAACTCCTTTCGGGAAAATTTTTGAATTAAAATGATGTAACTTCTGGTTTGCATCAGAAGTTCTTATATAGATGAAGGCAGAGACCAGATATGGAAACAAGGCAATGAAGCTGCCAAGTAACTTTATAGCTCAGTTCTTGAGATTAAAGAATTTGTTAGGCTGTAATTTTAAGAACTTGTAGACCTATAAATTCCCATTGTTGTTTGTCTGCACATCCTTCCTTAATTACCTTTTCATCCATGTAGTAATCAAATGAAGCAGGAACTGAATTGGCATTAACAGATTTTGGCCAGTCTTCACATCCTAATACTTTAACATATCCTAACTTTGGCATATTTTTATATTTTATTAAAACTGGATTCATAGTGAGTGTGTTCTATAAATATTTAAATAAATTTTCTTTAATATGAAATAAATTATAAAATACATAAATCATACACTTTGAAAAATATACATACACTTTTTGCTTTGAACGATATATAATTATATTCAGATTCTGCAAAAATAAATACAAATTTATTAATACATTAAACTAAATTCCAATACATCTAAGCAATCAATAAAGGAATACGTACGAATTGATTCTCCATCGTCCCAATAAAGATCTCCAATTGCCATTTTTGAACTATTTAAAGCAACAATCAGATAAAAAGGATTTAAGCGACTGAAATAATAAATATTAAATTTTAAAATTTCGTAGGTAAAGATATTTGTTTAAAAAAATAAATTGCACCACAACACAACACCTTAAGTTGCTGAGAATTTTATTAAAAAACACAACTAATGTTTTCAGCCAAATCTATTGGTCAAACATTAGTTGTGTTTTTTAATAAATTTCTCAGCAACTTAAGGTGGTGTATTGTGTTTTGCATTTTGCTGAGTGAGTTTATTTGAATAAATTGCACCTTTCCAGTGTTGTATTGGCAGGAATTTGACCAGGAATAATATAACCACCACGTATAGTTAATTTTACAGTGCCGAGAGGAACATGTAAAATAACACGAGTACCGGTGTTATTATATATTTTGCTCGTATGAAAATCATACCAAGTGTCTCGAGGAAAATATGCATTTACTTTTGATTTATTCTAAAATTGGAGAAGATTAATTAAAAATTTCATTTGTTAGTTATACGAAATAAAAAATTTAACTTACTGGATTAAGGACAGGAATGATCATCAAAGATTCTCCCCAGAGAAACTGATCATCTATGAAATAAGTGTTTCTATCAGTAGTATACCTGCAAAAATTATTAGAAATTTCTGTGAAGCTTGATATCATTTTATACATTTTCAAGTTAGTATTATTTTTTTCTCATAAAGAAACTAATTTAAGTTTAATTCATGGAGAAACATTTCTGACCAACTTTGGCTCACAATAACCTTCAGAATGAACACAGAATATGTTGTGTCCTGCACCATGCATTCATTTTGAATGTCACTGAGCTGAAGCTGGCCAAACAATGGTACAAGAAACTAAAGTTTAATTAATGGATAAACACTAACATTAGACTATTGCAATTTGAAGTTATGTTTATAATACATACATTCAAATATGGAGATTTGTTTTAAAATGACAAGAAACTAAATTATATATCAAATTAGAGCACATTAACAAAATGTATTAATCAATGGGTTATATTTCCCAATAATAGATAATGACGTTAGTTACTGCAATTTTCAAATCATTTGGATAAAAATTCTGTTATCCTGGTATTACCTATGAAGACAGATTTATATTTTCAGGTATATTTAGCAAATAAATGACAATACACCATTTGGCTGTAATTAATGATAGAATAAATATCTTCATAATCAAATTTCAAAATACTGCCAAAATCTGTTGAAATCACTTGATGTGATGATGTAATTAAGTCCAAATTAGCCTTGGAGTTTTAACTCCAGTTTTTTTCTTTTAACATTCTCTATTACAAAGTAATAAACTCAATAACAATTATTATTGTAACCAACTAAAAGGAACTACAATGAAGCTACTCAAATATATGGCAACTTTGATTTACAAAATTAAATTGTTTATGTTGTCACATCATTACAAAAAATTAGTAGTCACACATTAAACACTGAAAATGTTGGGCTCAGACATCACTGTATTACAATTCAATTCAACAAATACAAACATCTCAAAATCCAATATATTAGTAATATTCCAAACAACCGGATATACCACAGTTGAGCAATGGTTGGCCAAGTGCCGTAAGTAGGTGGTTATAGGACAAAGATACTGAAGGCATCCCCAGTCGGTGCCATTAGTAACTGAGGATGGTTATATCATAATTAAATATTTCTGGAAGAGGAGATTGGTCTGAAGGCTCAGGTAGCATAACAAACACATCTGCATGGAAACTGGGAGTTGCAGGTTCAAGTCCCACTCTGAGCCAATTCTTTTCTTCTGGAATATTCTAATTATTTATAATTATTAAATTTAATAAGAGATGGCACTAACATCTGCCTCTAGTGACAAATTACTGTATTTAGAAATGAATTAATCACAGAGAAAGAGCCCAATTTAATCTGGTAATCTGGAGAAATAGCCCAATTTGGCAAATAAAACAAATTTTATTAGAATTGTAAATCAAAATATTACTTCCTAGAAGATTTAGTAAACTGTTATGTAAGATTGAATTTTTTAGAAACACACATTTAGTTCAACAACTATAGATAACAATTTTAAGTATTTTAATTCTTAAAAACTAGAGATAAAAATGTTTCTGGTATCCTGAACTAAGCATTTATTTCTGGATGTATCATTATAGTATCGAGTTGTCAAGTAAAATTTAGTTATTTTTGCTATGGAAATGCAAATTTATTTTGTTTCTGCAATCAATAGGACATCAAAATGTTTCTATTTTGGAAAGTCTGATTTAAAATTTTTAATATTAGGAGATATTATTCAAAAGATACAGTAATAATCAAAATTTGTTCTATTAGAACTTATTATTTGTAGATATAAAGATGTGCTTAGAGAAAATATTTTTGAAATTTAATTATTGTTGTAATTAAATGATCTTTCTCTTCTATTGATTGAAAAAAGGGACCAAATTAAGGAGGATGATATATATTCTGAATATTCAAAGGATATGTAACACAACAATACATATTTAGGATTAGATTATCAAAATTTTTTATAATGTAATATACAGTGCAATTGGTAAAGTCTCTCTTTGGTGGGTGGGAAAATGCGAGATGATTCAGGAACAAAGTAATGACCATTACTTTGTTCCTGAATCATCTCGCATTAATAAAATGTCCCTGAATAATAAAGCCAATGAGCACAGCCCACTACAGAGGGCCATGCTCATGTGGCTTTATTTAGAACACTGGATATGCTATTATATTAAAATTGTAATTAACTTCAAAGTGGTTGAAGGGTAATTAGGAAAACTCAAGTTGGAAACAGATGGATGAATTTGAACCAGAAGACTATAATCAAGATCTTGACTTCACTGACAAGAATGACAATATAACAACCAAATCAGAAGATGGTTAATATTTTGTCCTAACCAAATTGGAAGATGCTGAATCAAGTTAACTATGAAAACAGTAATTATTTCAAATGTTGTAGCTGTAACCCATAAATACACACAGTCAATAAAATGTTTTGATGACTTGAAAAATGTAAAGTTTATTTCTTTCTTTCAACTTTTCCCACTCATCTCCTGTTGCAATGTAATAAACCCCGAGGAGTATACATGTTTTAACTTTGTGTTTAAAGAGTTTATTTTTAATTCTCCAGAGTTTAATCAATTGAAATACAGTATTAATAACATTAAGTTTATAAAAAAATACTTACTCAAAAAATAATGGCCTTGCAACAGCATTACCAAGTCGATAACTTTTACGGAATAAAGTATACAGATACGGCAGAAAGAAATAACGAGTCATGACAGTTTCTTTAATAGCAGAAACTACTTGAGAATGTAAAGCATCAGAATCTTGTTCCTGTATGAATTTAATTAAATTTATAGTTAATGTACTAAAAGATATTCAATATTTTTAAATTAAAAATTAAAGTTTAAATACTTACATTATATTTGTCTAAATTACATCTTATAAAAAATGGATAGAAAGATTCCAAAGCCATCCACCTGCTATACAAATCAACATCAGCATTTCTGACAAGACCACATATATTTGTCCCAACCATTGGAATGCCAAACATGTTAAAACTCAAAATTGCTAAAATAATTAAAATTATAATTATTATTTATGATAAAAATAAATAAAAATAAGCAAAAAATGAAAATTTTTAATGACCTTCTAGGAGAGTTTATTCTGCTGTTAATAATACACGGTGTCCAAAAAATTACAGTGCAGTGAGAAATTTGTAATGACATTAAAGTTATATGCATGGCATTGTATATGAGACCTTTCAGTTGTATATATCACATTTCCAATTTTCAGTAGATGGCATTACTGCTTGCACTCAGATGTTCTGGTTTTTGAACTATACTTTTTGAAAGCATTCTATGACAATTATAATAATCTTCCATGGAATTTGGCTTGCTAGGTCTCTGAACCTCACTCCCCTGGATTTTGGGGCCTCTGGAGGTTATTTCCAGCATTCACTGTAGGAGAAACTGCAATATCAGACGTAAAACTTCACTCATATTTCCACCGCACAGTAACTACAGACACCCTGTATTTCATTTGAAAGCATACTACACATCACAATATTTTAACTTAATTAATGTTTTCTAATTATTTAACATTAACATTAGATTAAATCTTACAAGATACAGATAATCGTATATCATTCCAGGAAAAACTATTGTCATCCAAAACTCCTGCATAATGGCCTAAACCAGGAAATGACGAACGTGAAATGATAAAAGGTTTCTTCTTTGAAACTGTTACTAATGCTCTGAAAGGCAAAAGTATTTATTTTCATATGTTTATTTCACTAAAAAATTGAGAAATTCAAAGTTTAAATATTTCACAACTGACCCATTGGTAACAATAGCTTCCATAAATCCATACATGTTATGCACATTATAATGCATTGCATTATGATGTTTAGAACTCATGCATAGTGTGTAAGAATGTAAGGATTTCAGATTATGTGGCATGTAGGAAGGATATTCATAACTTGTATTTGGACATTCATTTTTTCCATTATGGTAATTAGTTGGTTCATTCATATCCTAAAAAGACTTATGTTTAATATAAAATTCAAGTTTATTAAAAAAAAACATATATATGAAAAAAAGGAAATTTACAATCAATACTCCATCAATTTCTACTTGTGAATAAAGATGTTTAAATTGTTTAGTCCAATAATCAGTAATATTTGGATGAAGAAAGTCTGGAAACACTACTGATGTACCATTCCTTCCCTAGAGTAGGTATAAAATTAATGTTAGAAATAACACAGTTTATACAGTTATGGTATGTAGTAAAGTCTGCTTATTATGTTCATTTATAATAATCAGTCAAATACTGCACTTGTTCTTTATGAATTTTCCACCAAAAGAGCATTGCAACATGAAATATTTACTTAATATATCTGCACATCTATTTAATAAGCATTCAAACTTCTACTTATACAAGTGGTTATTTTTTAAACTCTTTCCACCCTATTGGCACTAAGAGGACCTCTTTTAGCAAGCCCATTATTGGTTCAATCAGGCCCACAATGGGGCAGCTAGGTGGTGAGGATGGAACCTGACACATCTGGTCAGACCACCCTCAAAAAATTCCTGAGGATTTTTCAACCCATCCAGATTCAATCCCAGATTCCCCAGTAGGCTGCCACCTAGACCACTTGGCCATCTGGCTGTCTATACAAGTGGGTCACAACTAGTGTCCATATTTTTGGGTGCTGCACCCAAAAATATGGACTCAGTTTTTGAAAGGAGCAGAGTGTAAACAGACAAACTATGTCTATTTTAGTGCAGTAGGCTCACTCATTGCCAAATTGTTTAGCACCCAAAATGCAAACCTGCCTCCAAAACAGTGACTAGCACTCAAACTAATTAATTTGCAGCCAGCTTCCCCCTTTTTTACATTTTTAAAGAATATGTTGACAATTATCTTTTTTATTCTGGTAGTTTTTATTCATTCACTTCAGAGAAAAAAAACCATATCATGTATGCTGAGGAAAAAACTACGATAATTAGCTTACTCTCTTAAAATGTGGGATCAGTGGAATTTTGTAAGTGAGGTGCTTCGATGTACTGGACGGCTTTTCCCTAGACAAACTCAGATCTAGTTTATCAAATAATCCTGATTTGAAAAATATTTTGGATTGTACTGAAGTAGAATTCTGAATCAAAATGAAACATGCCCTTTTAGTCTTGGTCGATGTATTATAGAAAGATCTTTTTCCCTATATAAAGACATTCTATCCTCCAAACAAAAAAATTTCAATTTTAAGAACATTGAAATGGTTACTGTTGTAAATTACAATGCTCATTTAATTATTTTACACTTAATTGTACAGACAAATATAAAATTGCAACATTTAACAAAGATAAAATACTTTGCTTCCATTATTCATCCATTGTTCACTCCAGTTGACAGTCAACAATTTCACAAGCATGAAGATGACCTACCTACTGCCTCTGCAATAAAATGCAAATATGGTATAAAACATTGCAATTTTATATTTGTTTATATAATTAAGTGTAAAATAATTAAATGTAATAACGTCGGCCATGTTTTATATTTTATATTTACTTAAATGTGTATTTTATGTGAAGATAGTGATAGCACCAGAGGACGTTTTTTACCATATTTGCATTCTATTGCAGAGGCAGTAGCCACAAAAGAAGGGTCACCTCCATGCTTGTGAAATTGTTGACTGTCAACTGGAGCAAACAACAGATGAATAACAGAAGCAAAGTATTTTATCTTTGTTAAACGTTGCAATTTTATATTTGTTTATACAATTAAGTGTAAAATAATTAAATGTAATACTGTCAGCCATGTTTTATATTTTATATTTACTTATATAATGCTCATCCTTGTGTAAATTGCAATAAACAACTATGTAGTTTGTAAATATAGTACTTCTTGTTGGTTTTTGTCTTAATAATACAGAATTTAAAAGCACCAAAACAAGCACCCAATCCATTCTAAAAATGCACCCAAAAATCCAGACATTAGTCATAACTAACAACCAGATGTATGCATGAGCATGTATTTTTTCTTAAATGCTATAATGTGCTATAAATGCCTCGATATAAACAGAGTATCCAAGTGGATAAAATTACAGCTATTCAATAATGCAAATTAAATATGCATTTATAGTTTTTTACCACATATTTTGCAGATATAAACTTTATAAACTTTAAGAGCTTATTTACTGACTGCAGGTGCTATTTTTCAAACAATGTATACACAAACTACTGATGATGTATATTTATCAACTTTTATATGTAATAAATTATTATAAAATATATGTTTTATTCCTGAATAACTATAATTAGCTTAAACACCCTTGTCAGTAAACAACAGGATAATAAAGGTAACTTATAATTTAGAAGGAACAAAAATGAAATAGTTTTGTTGTTGTCTATCCCCTATTTGCAGATCATCATGTGAATATTCATCATTTCATATTTTAATATTTAACTTCTTTTTCAATGACTTATATAAAACAAGCAAAAGATACATTTTAAAAGTCAAATTGACACACACACACACACACACACACACACAAAAAATGAAAATAAGTAACTGTGCCACCAAAGGCTGATTGGCCAGTTCACTTTTTCTGTTTGTTCTACCTTGACTCTTGTGTAAACAATTGCAAATATAGATATAAATTCAATAATGGTTGATTAGATGGCATAGAAAGTTATAAAATTTTATTTCTAATTGATTCGACTGCACACATCCTATGTGAAACGTTATAATAATGTGTATTTTGTAACTTAAATTTCAAATCCCTTGTTTCATCTATTGTCTTGTGTTTATCTCTTTCCACCTAAAATGTATGATGTAACAGAAGTTAATACAATTTCCTTGCAGATAAAATAAAATTTGTATGCTTTTCAAATTTCGGTGTAAAATTATTGCATTTTTAACTTGCATAATAAATATTTCAGGCATTTTTATATGCATACTAAATGCATATAAATGCATGTATTAGTCATAACATTTGGTACATTTTATAAGAATTTGTTTACAGATTAACTAGTTAGTTAAAATAATAAATATCCAGAATTTTACTTTTCTCTCCAACTTTTTAATTAGAATTTAAATATTTTTGATTAAACTGATATTTACAATTATCTAATTAATTTAAAATTATTGCTAAAATCAATATTTTTTCCTTTGACAGTTAATATTACTAAGTTAACAATATATTTTTAGAAATTTATACAGCATAGTAAATTGTACAGAATAAAAAGAAAGTAAAATATACAAAATAAAATTGTAACAAATTATTTTCATTACACACATTTTAAAATGGCATATTAAACAGACTTTACTGAATATATTGAATAAACTTATATCATCATAAGATAAATGTTAAGTTATACTTAAATATTCAATGTTCTACAAAAAACTGTTAAATTAATTTTATTATGCATAACAAATTGAAAATATTATATACTGTATATATATATATATAATATAGAATAAAAATATACTTTTCCAATGAGAATTTGTCCATTTTTATCTTTTACAAAAACATCCATTTTCAATCCATCATCATAAGGTGAATAATGATTTAGGGATTCTGCATTTCCAGTTCCAGGATCCTAAATAATATATTAATTATAGATAAAGTTTTTTCTATCATACACTAATCAATTACTTACTAGAGTAAATATATAATGCAACCCAATATTATGCAAATGGTTAATAAGTTTCGACAAAACTTCATATTTGCGATTGTCATAAACGAATCCATTATGCCTCTGCACATTAACTTCCCATATAGCATCCTATGCATAAATACATAAATTATTCAAACATAACAACAATAGATAAATGAGTTTTCGATATATTCAATCATACCAAAGGCATTTCAGTTAATTTGGTTCTCTTTGAGATATTCGCTGTTTCTTTTAAATCATCAGAATTATAGTTAAACAAATGAGATCCCAAACTCCAATATGGAGGCATCAAAGTAGTACCTATGATTTTAGTATATTGTTGTATAACGTCATTGGGTTTGGGTCCAAGAAAAACAAAGAAGTCAAATATTCCTCCAACTGGACGAAATGTTATGGCCGGCGTTGGTTGAATCATAATGTCTGTAATGACAAATATGTAATAATAAAATTTATTTTTCAAAACCTTAATTTAATACTAAAGAATGTCCTAAGTTTTAAATTACTTTGATGTTTTGCACATTCAAATGTTTATAATTTTTAAAATAAAAGTTAAATATATTCACTATGCTCAATAGAGAAATTATAATGTTGATCATATTTAATTTATTATTAGAGGTCAGAAAAAAATATCAAATGAGTGATTAATTATTGTGACATTGTCAAAATGCTGAGCTGCAATTTATATTCATATTTTAATTTAAAAATTCATATGACTTCTGACTCCAGACCGAAGTTTGTATATAGTTAATTAGTGCTTCTTGCCCTAAACTTTCTATATCTGGTCTCGATTATCATCTATCTAACTCCATTCTCAAGATTAATGAACAACAGATGGACAGAGTGATGACATTGGAAATCTAAGATCTGCAATTTGAAAACTGCAGCCAAAAATATAAACACTAGCAAGAATAAGAACTTAAATAAAGCTATTTACAATTGATGTAATTATGTACAAGAAATAAATACAGGAATAGAATAAGATACAAAATGTATTTGATATTCCTTGAACAGAACAGAAACAACAGAGGAACTGGAGGAAGAGCTTAAAGTAAATAAATTCTCACCTTATAAATTATTCTACCAGGTATTTTTAATAAATAATAACATTTTGATCAAATTAATGGACCTTCATCAGTTATAACCAAATGTATAAAATTTTTACAATGAACAGAATCTAACATTGAAATACAAATAACATAAACTGAATAGAATAGAATACAGTTTAAAATCCAATGGTAAAATACAAATAAAATATAAGAAAGGGAGTAAACGATAATTAAATATTTTTATTGTTAACTTATTTTTAATATTAACAAAGGTAGATTTTATAAATAAGTCAGCATTCCAAAAGTTAATGCAGTTGAAATGTTTATTAAATGTTAATGCAGATCTCCACATTATCATCGTTGGCTAAAGTGAAAACAGCTGTGTTGTTTAGACCTATATTGACTGCACGTCTTTGCTCTTTTAATTCTATCAGAGAGATTACATGAGGTGGCTTTAATATTACTGTAACAAATCAATTCACACCTAAATGCTAATTCCAGCAAATGAACAACAAAAGAACTTTAATGCTCAAACATTTTCAGCCATCTTTCAGAGGCTCTCATCAAGAAAAATGCAGAAAATAGAAAAAACAGCTCTATCTTTTGAACAGTTTTTCCTGACAAGGCCCTCTGAAAGACGGCTGAAAACGTTTGAGCATTAAAGTTCTTTTGTTGTTCATTTGCTGGAATTAGCATTTAGGTGTGAATTGGTTTGTTTTAGTATATATTTCCAGTTTGTGTGCCAGTTTTTTATGTCTAATATTACTGTATTTATCATATTCAAATACAGTCGAGTCCACGTAAGTTGACACCCCAAGGGGAAATGGAAATGTGTCGAGTTATTTGATAAGACGAGTAAAATAAAGTTGAAAAACAAAAGAAACCACAAAACTATAATTAGGAAAATACAGTAGTGCTTTATACAGTATATGCAGTGTATATCTCTGACCATTCATCACTGGCACTAAAGTTGGTTTCTACTCCAAGTACCTCAGCACTTATCATTCCTGCTTGCTTCATTATTAGCCCTGAAACAGAAACATTTGAAGAACAAATTTACTTTAGCCAATATACCAGAGCATCTTTGACATCTTTGTACAGTGACTTTCTCTGACGTTTTCAAGACAGCCACGACAAAAGCCCAAAAAAAATTTTCTTAATTTCCTGTGTATTTTCTTTTTATTCAGAACCCCCACCAATGTTGTTCTTGGAAGGTTTTATTGTTTTGCAAATTTGGCTTGCAAAGTTTTATTACATTCAAATTCAGATACAAGTTCATATTTTTCCTTCAGCATAAGCATTGTTAGCTTTTGGATAGTCATTTGGAATAAAAATGTGAAACACTTGCTCAATGAAAGGTGAGAAAATGCAAATTTGGATTCTGCTTCTGCTGTAATGTTAATCTATGTGGTATGAACTCATTTTTTTCAGGAGGGGAGTCGACTTATCAGGTGTCTAAACAAGTGTGAGACAGAAAAACTATATCAATTTATCCTGTGTAGGGTTTCTCAAACGGGATTCCAGGATCCTGGTTGTTTTTTTAACCCGGGAAATATCCTGGAAAATTTTTCTTATCACGGGAAATCCCGCAAATTTCTTAAAAATTCACTTTTTTTCTTATTTTGTGTTAAGGTTGAGAATTTTGCAAATAGAAAGCATAATTAACTCATTCACTGTCAGAATACATTTGTATTTATTCATTTTAAACCTACCTATTAGTTTTTTTAAATTTTTGCTCGTTATGGCATGTCACAAATGGTCAATAATCAATACGTAGCTTATTTGTGGCAGGACTCTGATAATTCTTTACTTGTCAGAACCTGTAATATATGGAATAATTGTGCTTACGCTGTCTTAATTTTTAACCATGCCCAGTAGCTTCAATAAATGCATTACTCCGGGTTGTGCAAATTGGACAAGGATACACACGAGTATGAAGTCTGCGAGTATAAAGTTTTTCTTCATAAACCTGATTATTAAAGACAAATGAATTGCCGAATTATCGAGCTATAAGCTTGATGCCGCTATTAAAGCAGCCGAGGTAGACAAATCAAGAATACTAGAGAACAAAAGTACTACTACAATCTCAAAAACGAACTCGAAATCTTCCAGGCTACAGGTGAAAAAACACATATCTGCCTTCTCTTAAATGCATTAAACACAATTCCAATCACATCAATTGAATCGGAAAGGGCATTCTCGGTAGCAAGACTTTTCATTACTAAAATAAGAATTAGAGTGAGTTATCGGAGTATTGACCATCTTTGCTTTTTAAAATCTTATAAAAGTTTGCAATATTTTGTATTATATTTTATTTAAAAACCGAAAATTACCTTCTAAGTTAGAAGTTTGATCTAAGTTCATTTTTTTTTTAAATTTTTAACTCAATCAAAGCATTTGTTGTTGTTGTTGTTGTTGTATGCAGTTTCCAGCAAACTTTAATAAATTTTTTTCTATTTGTGAAAATTTCTACGTAATAGGTAAATTTTATTATATATCTTACACAGCATTATTAATATGATTTTGGATGTTACAGAACTTTAAAATTACTTTAAAAAATTTAAAATAATTATATCATTTGATTTCAAGATATTTTGTATACCTTAAAAATAATTAATTCTATCCCGGGATTTTCCGGGATTCCAGGAATCAGTTCACTTTTATCCCGGAATCCCGGGACAAGCAAAAGACTGGGAAATGAGAAACCCTAATCCTGTGGTTACAAGTTAAACAGTGTTGAGTAAACCAAAGTTTTTTTAACATTAATGCCTATGTAAGTAGGCTGGAACCACAGAAACTACTTAACCGATGATGTCTGTTTATATCTATGACAACTTATGTGGACTCGACTGCAAAAACAAATACAGGCCTGATAGTTAAAGCCAAATAATTGCTGGATTAGATTGGACTATCACTACATCAAGAACCTGTTACCAGTATGCTTCATGAAAATACAGTTTGTCACATATATTTTCGAACTTTTGAACAGTTCTTCTTCAGGTGAAATTTGATAGAACACTTCAAAATGGAAATGAATATTTAAAACAAATTTACTCCTGTTAGACGAAATCTGTTGCAACGGGCATGTGCATTTGTGGGTGGATGGTAATTAATTGTTAAAGATTGGACTATATTACTGCTGATATTAATGATCAAAATGCTAAGTATTGGGTTGCTCGGAAAATAAGTTCGTTTTTTTTCATGAGGAAAAAACACAATATTTTTATAATAAATATATATTTTATTGAATTATATATCAACCATTTTGGTCAAATACCTGTTGTCATCATTTCTGGTAGTAGCATGATTTCACATTCATAAAAGTTTTAATTGTTGCTTACAAAAAACTGATCCAAGTGATTTTTGACATTGTCATTTCAAGTAAATGTCTTACAGTTAAAAAAAATTTGTATAGACTGGAACAAGTATTAATCTGAGTGTGCTCGATCTGGCGAATATGGTTGGTGTGATAGTATGTCCCATCTAAGTTGTAACAGTTTCTGAGCAATTACCAAACTTGTGTGAAATTTGACATTATCATGGTAAAACACTACATGTGTTTTGTTGATCAATTCTGACCGCCTTTTCTGTTTGATGATATTACCCAATTTGTTTACTTGATGGCAGTACACTTTTGAATCAATTGTTAAATTGTCTGGTAAAAGCTCCAAAAAAAATTTCCTTAAAATCCCACCAAAGAGAGCATCTCTCTTTAAGAACATGTGAAACCCATATAGCAAGCTTTGAAACGAAATTCATTTGTTTCAATTAATCATAAACAGTTCAATTTGACAAATTTAATCTCTTAGTGATTTCACAAGTTGTTATTCGGCAGTTCGTTTTAATCAGTACCTTTATTTTGTTTTCATTGGCTTCAACTGTCCATCCAGAACGTGGTGCATCTTTAATATTGAAATTTCCAGAACAAAATTTTGTAAACCAGTTTTGGCACTGTCGTTCTGTCAATACATCTTCTCTATACACGTCACACAAATTTTTTTCTTGCTTGAACAGCATTCTTACCTTTGCGGTAATAAAAGAGCAAAATATGCCAAAAATGCTGTTTCCGATCTTCCATATTTACACAAAAAATAAACAATTGCACAAAATCAAACAAAATTTTTTACAAATAAGCCTTAAAATGCTAGCTGTCAAAATATATAATGATAATATGGTTCGGAATGAAAATGGCGGAAAAAATACGACTAATCCGTCTAGTGGTAAAAAAAAAAATGAACTTACTTTCCAAACAACCTAATAATTTGGCCTAGAGATAAGCATTATCTCTTATTAAAGTTATATCTAAATTAATAGTTCTGGAAGCAAAGATTGGATGGACGTCTGAGTAGCATAAGTGGCAACACAACCATCCAGTAAGCAGAAGTTTGTGGGCAGATTCTTTTCTTGCAGAACTTTCTAAATTAATTAATAAATATTAATTTGATTATATAATTATTAAATTTAATAAGAGAGAGCACCTAGCACCTACCTCTAGGTCAAATTACTTAACATTTTAATTATTAATAATACTATTGTACTATTGTCCAATGTAATCTTGCAATTCTTTGACTTTAATTAGTATTTATCAATTACTCTCTCTCTCATATTTTATCTTAAAAATTTAAGATAAAATGTAAGAGTGCATATTAATTTACTTAAACAGAACAGAATTTATTAATCAAAATATTTTTGTAATAATACTAGTTATAGAAGCAGCTAGTTTCTGTTCATTTAATGTATTGTTCAAATATTAAAATAAGCAGAAATAAGAATTTATTATTGGGATGTTTAGGACAGGATTTAGCGTTATAGCTTGTAGATTATAATTAATAATGTTAATAACGGTTACACTTGAATTATAGATTAGGTGCAATTTTGTCCTAATGTATAATTCAACTATCAGTTCATTTCTATATTCAATGGTTGACTCAATGGTGAGAAAATGATGTTTCTAAATGGATAATTGGGTTCTTTGTTGAGACTAATGACATCAGCATTGTTTCACCGTTGAGCTCAACAGTCTCAACGACCTGAAAGACTGTTGAGTATTCAACAAACTAACATGGCAACATTCATGAAACAAGTAAATTTCGCTTATAAAAACTATCGATATGCTCTTGCTGTGGATGCTGTAATAGCTGACAGATTAATGAACAAATGATCTGTATATGATAAAGCAAGTGATTGCAAGATGATGTTGGATAATTTGGTGAATATTGAAATATTAAGCTTTTTTTCCAAAACAAACTACCTCCACAAATTTGTCCAAAATTGATTACGACTGATATTTGGCCCTCTAAGTCTTCCTAATGATACAAATACAGTAGAACCTTAAAAACTCGGCCTAATGTGGACCGAAGGGTGGCAGAGTTTGTGAAAATGCCGGGTTATCAGGAATGGGGTTAAAAAAAATAAGTACGAGTGTTTCCTCAGAAAATACTGTACTGTATTTGTATGTATTGTTTACTTGAGAATATAACAGAGAATAAACTGCCCAAATACCCTTAAACAAAGGAAAAGTACGTCCTTTATGAAGGCATAGAGCCTTTACTACATGAAAATGAAAATTAATGAATACACTGTGTACAGTAATTTACCTGATAAGACAGACCTCAGAAAAATACTTTATGAGAGCTTTTATACTTTTATAAAGCTGTCTATAATGAAAATTAATTAACTAAGGATTTTTTTGCCCTGCCAGGGTGTGGCCGAGTTATCCGGAGTGCCAGGTTATCGAGAGCCGAGTTTTCGAGGTTCTACTGTATTCAAGAAATTTAAATTATTAAAGAAAGACCCAGTATAGAAGAAAATGATACAGAGAAGGGTTCATTTGAATAAACGGATTTATTCAAATAATGGTTGTCACTTTAATTATTTAGCAAAACAGTCATAATCGTTGTCTTCTCCTTAATTAAGTCGGCCATCATGAAAAGTGACCTTTCAACGGAAACATTTCTTTATTCTGCAAAACATGACGTCAGATCATTCAGTAGGGGGACTAAACTGAGAGCTCACCAGTGATACAAGTGTTGAATTTAGAAACTTATGGTATAACTGTTATTAGGGCTGTGGAGTTAGATTTGGAGTCATGGAGTTTAAATCAGAAGCAATTTTAAGACAGAAAAAATTTACTGACTCCAATTTAAATCTTGATATAACCTAAATTTGTTGTAAGGATAAGTTTTTATAAGTCTTAAAAGAGTCAAAACTACAAAAACGTTCTGGATAGAGAAATAAAGAGTCACTATCCAGATTTATTTCCAGTTCATATTTTAATGTAATTTTTTGATGGTTCATGAAATATCTTACATTATCATTTTACAATACTACAAATTTTAGTATGTTTACCATTTAAACCTACTAAAATTTATATATTAAGCAATCTTCAAAGAATCAGAAATTAAAAATCATGAAGCTGAAAGTCATGTGCAGTGAACCCACAGCCCTGGTTGTTCTTGTTATTTATTAATCCCTTTCCCATTCAGAAGGGAAGAAGAAGCTATCTACAATTAACAATATATGAAGCTTGTCGTAAACAAAATTCAAATTAGAATTCTATTGATGGGTCTGCTTCTGAATTGTCTTCTAAAGTTTAAAATTGTTATTATAAAAAACAATTAGATATTAATTCAGAATCACTACAGACTCTAAACAAATGACATGTAATAATAAGAGAAATACCAATAATGGAAACAGAAAAAAAAAGACATATCTAACTGAGATAATAGAAAATAATTTATCTGCTTTATCTTATCCTTTAATTATATAACTCAAAAGATAAAAACATTTGCACTTTTATATTTGTAATTTTTTTAATAAAAAAATTTTTCATTCTAATAATGTCAACAGTTTCTTCCAATAAAATAACTATAAATTCTAATTTTAAAAAATTTAAATTGAAATTCATTATTTTGATCAGACTAATATTTAAAAATTTATTATTGTTAATATTAATTTGACAATAATATTTTGTAATAAATATGATATTGAACATATATGATATCAGGATAAAAATTATATATCATCATAACAAAATTTTTATGCTAACATTAAACTTTAGCCTAAAGACTATGCTATATTTACATACAACATAATTTGATTGACTTGTGATTGCAAATTCAATGGTGGATTTCCCATTAGACTCAGGAATGCAAGATTTGAAAATAGAAAAAATTGAAAATAATAAGAATGATAAAATAATTTTATGAAGAAACAATTCATAAAGCAGTCAGTGCAAACTAAAAGTTTAATTAGGGACAAAATAAAACATCACTTTAGTAGTATTAATATATAAATATATTGTGCATGAACAGAGTGGTAATACTAATGACAATTTTTAATAGCAGTGCCCTTTGACGTTTCAAGTGTTTAGAAATCTGTAAAAGTACAATTACTGAAGAATTATAATTATAAAACAATCATATGGTGCATAAGTGGCACTATTAGTTTGAGAACACCTGCATATTGTGAGCTGAGGGTGCCATATTTCTAAATGTGCCACTGTGTGAATTAAAAATAAAATTTAATATCAATAAAAGAACTTTAGAATGTTTCAAAATATTTTTAAAATAGTTTTTTTCATTTGTGGAATTATCCATTATGGCTTTTGAGCCAAATTTGATCTCCCCTTTGTGTAAAATGAAGCATTGTACTTCGGCAAACCCCTCCCAGTTAATTATGCATATAATAGTTCAAGGCCCCCTGAATTTGAACAAACAATTTAAAGTTCAAAAAAATTTTCTGATAGTTTATTCATGTGACTAGTAAGTATGAAAACTGATTCACATGCCATTAATGTCACTATAAAAAAGTCCATGTAGACAATGCCTGCACCATTCCTTCCTGATGGAGTACAATGATATACAGTGGAACCTTGGTATACAACCTTAATCCATTCCTGATGTTTGGACCTATACAAAATAGGACGTATACCAAACCAACCTTTCCCATAAGAAGTAATGTAAAATTGATTAATCCGTTCTCATGTAAAAAGAATGGCTGGCTTGAAACACCTCGTTTTCCTGGCTAGTTCCTGCTTGATTTTTCATGAGATCAGCATGTATCTTTTTAGCTTTCTCACAAATAATTGCTTCTGATATGCTGTCGCCAGCACACTGTTTTCAGTTATCCAAAGCAAAAGCAATTTCTCAACATGATCTAAAGTCTTCGATCTCTGTTTAGAAATTGATTTAACCCCTTTCACAATGTTAGCATATTTAATAATATCTTTATTTTTCACAATTGTTGATATTGTCACTCTCGGAATACAGTATGCAACAGTTAAATCTCAAACACGCATGCCACCTTCATATTTCTCAACAATCTCTTTTTTCAGTTCCATTTTGATTCTAGTCATTTTTTAGTTTTCTGTTGCTTTTCATTTGACTTTTTGCAATTCATGATTAATAAAAATAATAAAATTTTACTTACAAATTAAAATCAGAAGAAATTTAACAAAGTTATAAACCGTGGCACTGCGAACGTCTAGTCTGGTGTAGTACACCGATAGTGCTACTTGTTCATAGATGGTGCATATAATTGAATTAAGTCGTATACCAAGCAAAACTTGTTTCGTCCAAACAGGATGTATTCCGAATAGGACGTATTCTAAAGCAGATGTATACCGAGGTAACACTGTATTTTCATGATTCCATTCCCACTCAAACTGTATACTTAATTAATGGACAATTCCTTACTTTAAAAATACATATGGATATACAAATGTGCAATGTACAATGATATACATAAGAAAGTAATGAATAAAAACTCATACCCATAGCATTACTGTTTAAAAGAACTACACCATGACTGTTTCCATTCTTTTCCATAACCAAATAAAATGGATGACTTCCAGAATTTGTTTCTTCATTCTAATAAAAATAAATTAGTTAAATATAATAAATAATAAATTGATTCAAATACGTTAACTTACATGTAAATGTCTGCCTTTATTGAAGAAAGTTATAAGGTTCCACTTTGTATTTTTTAATAGAGGGCTTTTGTGTTGACCAAGTCCATAAATATATTTTGATGGAAGTAATGATGATAACTGCAGAAATTGGTGTGAAAATATCAATCTCTTCAAATCTGTTTTAAACCTAAAAAACAAGTAAACAGTTTGCAGTGATACATCTTGTTTAGATTGCATGTAACAATGCATTATTATTCAATTGAATGTAAAACCAAAATTAAAGCTAGATCAGATTTTTCATTGATAGGGACTTTTGTTAACAAAGCACAGGATAGTAGAGTAGTCTTTTAAAAGAACATCTTATTAGTGGAATTTTTAGAGCACCAGTCTGCATAAGGGTGCAGTATTCTAATGGCGGAAACTCAGAAGTTTCATCACTGATTTCAACAAAATTTTTGGATGTGTAGTATTTACTTGTGCTTAAACTCTGCCAAAGCTGCATGAACCACTTCATTAAAGAGAAAACCAAGATAAAAGTTTTATAGAACTATTAATACATACACAGAAGCACCATTTGCATGTTCACAGCTGGTCTGATTAGTTAAGGCAGTGCATGAAGTGTAACTATACGGGTTTGAATCCCATGTGTAAGAATATTTTTTTGTTTTACATTTATAATTTAATCTTACTGTTATTAAATTTGTTATGTACAGTTTTTATGCCATTTTTAATTATTGAATTTAAACATTATTGTTCATTATAAAATATCAGGAAATTCAAAAATTATTTTTCAACAGTTTAATGTTTTTGCCACAAAAAATATACAAGCAATAAATACTTACAATTACTGTTTCACAAGAATATGACAACATTTTGGATGGTATTTATCATAAAACAGTTAAAACATAATGGTTCATTGCACCATTCACAAATAACCATTGCTACTTCATTCTCACAATCTTTACATTTTGTTTTAATAAGAGGGTGGAAAGACAATATTCATTAATGTTTTTGAAAGTATTTCTTTTACATGTTATTTGAGATGCAAGTGTAAAGCTTTTATTTCACTTATATACAATTCTATCATATAAACATTACATATCACATATACTTAATCTCATCTATAGTTAGAGATGGTATGTATCGAATGAGGTGGTGTGTGTCGCTGTTCAATGTCATGGTCCAGAATGGTAAAAAAATGATAGTGTCTCTTCTAGTCCTCCTTTTAGTCCCTTTGCTCTCGTCCTCTGGTGATAGTTCTAGATTTAACCTTTTGAACAGGTCGCCAAACAAACCATGCATACTTTAAGTTAAATATCAATCCAGCAAACTATTTTAATACCATAAAAACGTTTTCAATCATTAAAATAAAAAATTTTAAAAAATTCTTAAAATTTCTTAAAACTAACGAGTTAAAATTACTCTTTTTTATCCAACTTCAAAGGAACTCAAAACACAGAAATGGAAAACTAAAGTTATAATTACTTCTTACTTTATTCAAACTTTTCATCACCATATGCATTTTGCTTTTTCAGCCTCATCAGTGGTTATTCTGTCTTACATCATCAGCGCTCTTATATTCTATCAATACATCCCAGCATGCATCTATGCTGACTCCGGTATTCAAATTGATGGTATTTACATAATTATTAATACAGTAGTGTTCTACAATACGTCTCATTACTACATTTTCTATTTTATACAGTATTTTTATATTATCATGGTCAATAATACAATTTTTAACACTACAATATTGATACCATGAGGATTCCATTCTTTTCAATCTTATTGCTGCTTTGTGTTCTTTTAGACTTGTTCCAAGTTTCCTTCCTGTTTCACCGATGTAACCTTAGTTGTACATATACACTGTAATTTATAAACGACTCCTGCCACATCCAAAGGATTCTTCTTAAACTTAGCATTTCCTTTATTAATTAAACAAATACTTTTACTAAGTCTATTACTTTGTTTTCCTACGAAACGGCAGTAACATTGGAAAAGATGAGAATGGTTAGGTTAATAATGGAAAAGATGCTCCCCAACACGACAAATTAGTAGGAGTATACATGATCCCTATAAAAGATCATAGGTGTGATAAAGATTTAATATATGTGAGATCCACAAAAAGATCGTTAGAAGTGAGGCTCAAGGAGCATAAAGCCGACATCTTACATAAGAGACATACAACGGTATTAGCACAGTACACCAGTGACCCTGACAAACAAGCATTATTAGATGAGGCAAAGGTAATATATACAACACAGCAATCACACCATTTGATCTTGATGGAAGCGATATATATATATAAAAATGTCCCTATATTTCACTTTTCTGCCAAAACTACACATTGCACGTGAATGGTGTTTGTATGTGGTAGTAGCCCCAAGTCTCCATTCGTGCACTATGGTGGTTGCGTCTCGATAGCTATAAGGGTGCAGGAGATATGGAGCTGAAAGTGGTTGAAAGTGGTTTTCTATTTCGAATGTTATGTTCGAATTTAATTCAAACAATATTCGAATTAAATTCGAACATAAAATTCGAATATTGGTTCAATTATAGAACGATTGTAAACGTTCCAGAAACGTTGAAAATAGTTCGTTTGACTGGACGTGAACAGGAGACGTTCAGAAATAGAATCGGGACCAGGTCTCTAATTAGTCTGGAAACGGGGGACCTAATTCTTGCATTCTGTGAAAACGGGTAAGATTGGCTATAATGTAATTATCTTAATCTTCACTATCGTTACTTTTTGCCCAGCGAAGCGGGTCCTTGCAGCTAGATTCTAGATTACTTAGAAAAACAGTCTTTTATATATAAAAAAAAACTATATTACATACAAATAAAAACCCAGCGAAGTGGGTCCTTGCAGCTAGTTCTAATATATATATATATATATAACATTTATAGGTATCTGATCACAAAATTTAAAAAAATAAAATTTATATAATTAAAAATAAGTGACCTACTAAACTTTAAGTAAACAAAACAAAAATTAAAATAGGCAAAATCAAATATAAACACTAGACAATCTGAGGTAACAGAGTAATTCCTCTGAAAACTGCAGAAAAGTTAGGGTATAGATATGCACAATGTTCATATACCCTATATCTTGCTTTGCTACATATTAACTAAATAAAAGTGTAAAAGAGGAAAAGAAGTTATTTCATGGCACAGTCAACAAACACCCCCAAATCCCCTTCACTAAATTCTACCTCAGCTATTAAATACACTTATTTTGGAAACAATCAACATTATCTTGAAAGAAGCAATGTATATCCATTTAATATAAATAAATGTTATCTATTATAAAAATTATATTTTTTATTTTTTACTTCATATTATATGCATTTATTGGAATAAGCAATAGTTGAAATGTTAATTTTTGTATGGTCATAAATAATACTAAATTTTAATTCATATTTCTAAATGTACGTACTTAAATTAATAAAATTAGTCTAAAAATTATCTAAGAAAATGTTAAGACATTGCAATTTTGCCTACATCAATTTTATGAAAGGGGGTTATGGTAAAATTACAATAAAATACAATTAAAACTGTAAAATTAAAAGATTGGTGTAGTAATTTATATGATCATTAATTCTATATTAGCATAAAAACAGACTAAATACACCCTTCAGATTGATTATAATATCTACATACTTCATGTATACTTGGCATCATATTACTATAAATATGTATTAAGAATGCTTACTTCAAGAAGCCAAATCTTTAATTGATTAATAAGAAACGTTTTCATCCTGACCCAGGATAATAGCTTACAAATCAAACAAAAAGAAAGTAAACTGTAAGCTGATGTTGTCATCCTCGGTCAGTATGAAAACATTTCTTATTAATCAATTAAATATTTGATTTCCTGAAGTACACATTTCTTAATAAAAATTCATTGTTTATACTATTCAAATAATAATCAAATAATCCATAATAATGTTATAAAACTTCAAAAACATTCAACTTACACTGTTTCTCTGTTTGATAATCTATTTACTAGTAATTCACCATTGTAATCAAGAAAAATTGCATATTTCATATATAGTGGTCTTTTCCATTTGCCATAAAGACCTCCAAGATCTCTAGTTTCCTCTGGATAAGGAATTTCGAATCGTGTACTATTTGCATCAGTTAGCTAAATAAATTAATATCATAATTTACATTTTTAATAGTGTATAAATTTATTTCACGTCATTAAAGTACAAAAAATTAACTTACTCTGATTCTAATGGTATTTCTGTCATAAAAATATACTGTCAAATTAACATATTTGACATCTGATGGAAAATTTGATGGAACTGTTCTCTGAAGAAGAGCAGAGATTTTTGTTAATTCTTTTTCTATGTTTTTTACTTCATAACCAATATAATTTGAAGGAAAATAACAGTTGGGTATAATATTTTGATTCTTATCACCAATATTTTGATTAGCGTTCCAACAACAACCACGATTAAGGCAGTCTTTCTCCGACGCGGGAAAATCTGGGTGGCAATCAAACTTCTCATTATCAGGTATCATAATGTTGCAGTTTGGTTCAAATTTCTTTGTTTGGTTCTTCACATCATCTTTATCTAACCAATATTTGATATCATTCCAAGATAACGAATGATTAAATTCATATTGTACAAGCCAATAAATTAGAGAAGAAACGAGAAGAGAGAGCAAAAGGATTTTTATTGCAGTTAGCAATACTCTTTGTATAAGTTTACTTCTTTGTGCAGGTGAAGTATATTCAAAATGTTGAATAAAGTGTGGTGACAAGAGTGTTTTTTTCATCTCCATATCTACTGATAATTATATATTCCCATTTAATATAATTACTTGACTTATTATTGGAAAAATGTTACTTGTTATTTAAGAACAAATACTCTTCAGTTATATTAATAAAAAGACTTCATTCTGAATCTGTAAAAAAGTTTTTTTAAAAATTTCAAAACAATTCTATAATTAAAATTATAAAAATTTAAAAAGCAAAATTAATAACTTATAAACAATCTTAGATAATATAATTTAATAATTCTACTCTTTATAATATAATAAAATAACTATATATGTGATTTATAGAATGCTTTGAACTTAATTAATAAAATGATAGATGCTTTGAACTTAATTAATAAAATGATAGATTATTTTCATGGCGAGAATAATAATCCAAAGACATACAGCTAATTTATTAGCTATAAATATTATAGTCCACGCAGCAAAACAGCAGACATGAGTCAGCCTGAGCTGGAAATGTCTATTTCAGATAAAAGAGATGGAAGGAGATGCAGAAAGTTGACACATTGGTCTGATCTCTTTTGGACGTTTTGTTTTTTATATTTTTAAAACGTTTTTTATACTATCTTCATCATAATTAACTTTATTGTTTTACTTTTTTTTTTTTTTAATTTTATTGCTGTTATGTGTCAACTCCCTCACGTCTCCTTCTATCATCAACCCTTTCTGCTCAGGCTGACTTATGTCTAATCTTTCACTGAAGACTCTAGTTAAATAAATTGATTAACATAAAAAAAAACACATATCAAGCAATGAAAACAAAATGAAAATCATTCTCTCTATAATTAGATGAAAGTCTAGTTTCACTGAACAACAATAAAAGGACAGGAACATGTGTAATAATTTGAAGACTTATTAAGTCTTCAAATTAATTAATTATAAATTAAGTAAAAGTTCAAGCAGTACTGTTTGTCTACTATCAATCTCAGCAATAGCTAGCATAATGCCAGCAATTTAAATTATTGCAAGCACATAATAATTAAATTAATGGATAAAATTGATAATGATTGTACATTAATAGCCACCCACATTGTGAGGTATCAAGCATGAAAAAAAAAGCAAAAAATGGCTATTTATCCTAAGATAATTTATAACAATAACCAAATTTTGATTAAAGTAAGCAAAGTCTTTATAATATGTTATAAGTTGAATGTTTCAGAATCTGCTGATTTTGATGCATTAACTTCATTAACATTAATTAACACTTATACTAACTGCCATAACATTATCAATGATCACAATGAGTAGTCTACTGTATGCATATAAAAATAATGTTTTATCTACTTGGAATAAAATGACAAAGTATCTACATGAATATATTCTGGAATGAGTATTTTAAAAGATTTAACAAGCTTAAATATGTTAAATATTATCAAATTATTATAATCATTAATTGCAAAACAAAAAATAAGCAAATTCTTAATATGACAATTTAAAATTTAATTTGCGAAAAGGTATAGTGTCTTCAAGAAAAAAAAAATTTTGTAATAATGTTAGTTATCATCCAAGAACATTAATGCAAGAAAGATTCTGCAGTGCCCACAGACAAAAGAAGGCAGAAGCTATAAAAAAGAGCATTATACATTATGCAAGAAGCTAAAAACTATGATTCCTCATTTTCAAAGCTAAGTTTTGGTCAACATGTGACAAAGTTGCATGGGACAGTAGAGAAATATCATTCATTAGTTTCTTTTATGTTTACAGAACAGTCTAAAAGTTATGGATTTTCTCTTGTTTATTGATAATGGAATTTGGAGTTCCTTTTCGGATTATGGAAAAAAAAGAAAAAAACAGACAAAGGGGGTCACATACTCCTAGCAAGTTTAATGCATTAAAAATTGGAAAATTATCCAAATTCACATTTGTCTATTACAGTTGCTCAATGTGTACACCTGTCACTCCACACACATTCTATACAATCTACACTCAAATTCTTCCAAAACTCACTACAGCATACCAGTTGTCACTCCCATAGCAGCCACAATTCTACAGACGAAGATCATTCAGATTGCACAATGACAAGCAATTCCAACTTTGCAAACCATAGAACACAGAACAACTTCTGACACAACACAGCCATGCCATTTTGTTTCTTATTCATAAAATTAACATTAATTTGTACGGTACAGGACGAGAAAAAATACCCAGCTATACTCTCTCTCGATAGTCACGTGTACATTTTTACTAATACCTAATCTAAATATATAAAATTATTTGTCCTGACTGACTGACTGATTCATCATTGCCCAGAACAAACCGCTGAACTTAGAGGTGAAATTTGGTACACAGTTAGGCTGTGTACACACTAGGCGTTTTGCATTGCGTTAAACGTGCGTTAGCAGCATACACACCGCGCGTTAGCTCGGCGTTAAACGACCGTTTAGTGGAGCATACGCAGTGGCTCAGTTTGGAAATGGACGTGAAAGTAATTGCTTGTGTGCCCCTCCTCCATCATCGCTATAAAAGACGATGGCAGAGGCAAAGAGAATTTTGGGTGCACCCAATATTACAAGATAGACTGACACATGGAATGTTTGCGACGTTGTATCCAAAACTAAGACAAAATAAACCCAAGTATTTTAATTCTTTTAAAATATCTATAAAATCCTTTGACAATGGTTGGTCTCTTTTAGATTTCATCAATAAATAGATCAGTATCGAAATGATCATTCTCCATTTCAGCCAACGTACGTCCACTCTACCCGAAAACGCACGATCGAATGTACAGTAACATGGTAGCACATACATCTCAAAGTGCTCGGCTGACACCCGCAAAACGCGCATTTTAAGAAAAATCTATAAACACGTGTTTGACACGCACTTGGCCAAAAGCACGCGTTTGAGTGTGTATGCCTATGCAGAACTCTTGGTTATTTAAAATGCGCGTTTAAAAATGCCTAGTGTGTATGCAGCCTTAGGGTACATCATGAAAACGCACACTAAGAAGGGATTTTTCGAAATTCCCCCACAGGGGGAGAGGGAGAGCATTAAGGTTTAACATCTAGAACAGCTTCTACTGTACTATTTTAGATGTGATTTTTTTGTTTTTAATTACATTTAGTCTTCATTGAGTACTTAGGGGTATTAAATTGATAACATTTCAGACATTGTTATAAATATTTTTATCTATTTCGATTTTAAAAATGTTCGAACCTTTTTAAATTCGAATTTGTTATTGCATATTGGTTCGATTATAGAACGATTGTAAACATTCCAGAAATTTGATCAATTTGAAAATACTTCGTTTGATTCTCGGTAATTCTCATCATTCTCAGCGGTAGTTGTTATATAACAATTAGGTTAAAGTCCAGATACGTAGACCGTCATGGCGGCTCCTCTCTGATTCCAGACGCAGTAGGGACGCACGTTCTAACTTAACCTAACCTATTCTAATAATTTGATTGGTAATAATTATGGTAATTTATTAGAATAGGTTAGGTTAGGTTAGGCTAGAACGTGCGTCCCCACTGTTTCCTTTATTTTGTTTGCTGGAATCAGAGATGAGCCCGCATGACTGTCTACGTATCTGGATTTTAACCAACAATTACTATGGTTGTGTGAAATACTGAATATAAATGGGGTTTGCTTGCAAAATACTCGCGGGCAAAGCCGCGGGTAACAGCTAGCAGAGCCGGCCCTACCACAGGGCGAACGGAGCAGCCGCTCCAGGAACTAAGTCCTAGGGGGCGTCTCAGTGGTAAAGAAAATTAAAGGGTATAAATTTGGTGCAACCAAGGGGGCGCCATAATAGGATCTCGCTCCATCCTAAAACTTGCCTCGGGCCGGCACTGACAGCTAGTACAGTGTATGTACATTTAGCTAATCATAAATAAATTAAGAAATCTAGTTTAAAGTCTTGCTGTTTAAGTGTTGATATCTTTTATTACAATCTGTTAATTTCACGTGTTGTATCTTTTATGATAAGAAATTAATAATTTCTCCAAAAATATATCCAATATTTTAATGACAACGATCATAAAAGATATTAACTTGTAAACAACAAGACTTTAAACTAGTCTACATGAATATATTCAGAATATAATTATTAATATAATCTACATTTAAAAATAATTACTCCGACCGTCCGTTCAAACAACACAATCCTTGATCAGCTGATTCCATAAGCATTAAAAACACTTCAGTGTTGCCAGCTCAACTTCAATTATACAGTAAATTAATCGTACTTTTTAATTTCGTATGACACATTTTTATTTTAACCTGGGTAATAAATAATTATATATAATTAAATTTGAGAATATAAACGGAAAAAATTTAAATGCATACGAATTAAAATTAATTAAAAATAGATTAATTAAGATAATCCTATTTCTGAAATTGGATTATTTAAATCGGATGACGACGTTATATTGATTCAGTTGAAATGAAATTTAATACCGTCAAATGATACAAATAATAATAAAATGTACCTCTGATCTTTGAACATTTTTCATTCATTTAAAAAGAAAAAAAACGTAATTTTCAACTAAAATAGTAAGTAGAGTTTTTAACAGTTTTTATATAAAGATAGTATTAGAAGCGATTAAGACGTCGGCCTATAGCTCTGGGATATTCTAAATCAAATTCGAAGAGAAAAAATACGGAAATTTTCCTACCCGGTCGCTCCATTTTGGACCTAGAAAGTCCCATGATGAGCCTGAAGAAAGCTTTGTTAATTCCCACAGAGTGAAGTTTTAAAATATAAAAAAGTTACGCTCTTTTAGTCTTACGAGCAATAAGGACTGACCACAATGGTTTTGTTAACCCATTGTGGTCATGCCCACTATGGGGAGTTTGAGTGATGGGAGACGGGGCCTGACATATTAGAGATGGACCATCCCCAAAAGATTCCTGGGAATCTTCGGATCGGGAATCCAAAAAAAATATTTCGACGGTGACACATCAATGAATTAGGGTGAATTTATAAATTAACATCGTAAAAATTTTTGAGTCTTCGACTGACTCAAACTCCATTTTTCAGTATGGTCTTCTTTGGCTGTCCGAGATTTCTAAAATTAATTCCATATTGTAAGTCAGAAAGAGCGATTGATTTGATAATGCGCGGAATCAAAAGTATACGGATTTATTTATTTAATTAAAAAATGGACTCGTTGTTTGTACAGTTTGAATAGATAAAAAAATAAAAAGTCGACGCTCCAATCTGACTTATAATAAAGAAAACATTAAAAGTGAGATAAGATTCAAACCCCAATGCTGTATGTAGACGTTTCGTAGTTCTTCGCATAGCTTCTGGTCATTGATACAACTTATAAGGTGATCGTAATTAACGTACACCTATTCAACACTGTTTACCAAGATATTTAGTAGTTAACCCCTTAACTATAGGGCTGCGCCTTTAAAGACCAAGCCGAATCCACGATGGGCTTAATAAAAAAAGGGGGCTCTCTTAATGCTCACAAGGCAAAAGATTCGAGACATAGTACAGTTAAATCATTTTTTTAAACTAATAAACTTGTAATCGCTGATAGAAACATCTGCAGTATAGTGTTTACCGGAATAAATTGTGTTACAACGATAGGAATTACTCTTTATGAACAAATACAGGATTTCAATAAAACAAACATCCATTAAAACCAAAACTGGTTTAATAAATGAAAATTATTTAAATGTAAAATATTCTCTATATTACTTCTAAAGAATTTTGAGAACATTTCAAATAGACGAAAGGAAATTTTATCTCGTTTGCATCACTCCTGTGTATCACATTATACAGAATTCAATAGTTGAGAGTTTAGTGTCTATTATTATTTTTAAAACATTTTTATAATTGAGACTATTTTATCCTTTGTTTAGGATGCATCAGAATGATCTATTTAGTTCTTATTTTCTATGAATCATTATATATTATTGTCGTATCTCCATATTATCAAGGTATAATTAACAAGGGCGTGCGGTGACATTTGATGATAGGGAAGCTGTGTTTCTGTAAGAAGCCGACATCCAGGGGCAATCAGTCAATTGCGCGTCAGTGATGGTCTAGGGTTCATTCGTATCTTTTATTCGATAAGCCAGTAAAAACCGTAGACTTCTCTAAATGCATTTTTAATATCACAATTACATTCCGAATCGCTAGCCATGATATAAGGGCTACAATTAAAAATAAAATAATAAAAACTTACTTGGTGAAATAAAATATGCGGTACATACAAAATATTCTTCAATTATATGAATATACTTTTAAAGAAAATTATAATTAAATATAGCTTTGTAAAGAAAC